AGTCATTTCGCTAAACATTGATTTAATCATCTTTGTAAGGGATATGGATATCATAAAGCATTTATTAGAAAAAAAATGTAATTTTAAACCAAATGGAGCCAGCGTACCACGACCTTTTTTAATTTTTAAGGACACAATAATTTTAATGAAAAAGAAACTCATATGTTTTTCTTGAAGATAACAATTTCTGTAAAGCGGCTCCTTTGCATGACACATTGACATAGTTGAGGCTATATATATATATACAATATTACGTATTGAAAATCATGAATTTTACGTGGTCTCGAGATTCTGTTTTCAAGGTCTATATAATAATAAATTATGACGAATTACGAGTATAAAAGAGAAAAATATTACCTGATGATGCGCTTTTCAAGCGTTTGAGGATTTCAGTTTTATATCGCTCTAAATATGGCCAAGAACATAAGTCGTCTGACGCACTTTCGCTCGGTTGCGGCATTTCCGGTACCGGTGTGTGGTTCAAAGTCTTTATTTGTTCCTGCGATACCTGGTCACCAGACGAAGAGCTAGGTACAGGATCGTCAGGCGTTAGCTCTGAACTAGCATCGTATAATGAAGTATAAGAGCCTTCTTTTTCAATGTCAAAGTCATCTTCTTGCACTTTTGGCGCATTGTCTTCTCCCTGACGACGGCGTCTGTTGCGCGAGCGTGGTGTATCACGTGATCCGTTTGGCGTTTGAGGAACAGGACCGTGAATTTCTTCGTACATTTTATCGATGATTCTTTCCATTGCTGTATTTCTATGAAAATAAAAACCAAATTTACTAACAGTTACTTTTTTTTTAGCTTTCCCGCCCTGGTCCCGTACATTGCTTTATTGTTGTTGTTTTTAAATGATATCTTAGAATAATTTGGTATCCACAATATAAGTTTAACAAACATGTGAATTTGAAAGAATATTTTAAGTGATGCATATGTTATTTCTGGAATATATGGGAAAAAAACATTATTTATATGCATAAAATGAGTTAAAATAAAGGAAACATATTAATTTCATCGAAAACAGACCTTTCGTCATTTTCATCTGAACTATCGCTAATTTGAGCCACATACGTTCTTCTGGCTTCTGATTGCTTCTTCCGACGGCGTCTCTTCCAGCGATTGTAGCGTTTATCAACCATTGCTTCAAAACAAAACTGTTGGCCAGACGGTAACGATGGATCTGATAGACACACAATTTATATTCATTTTAGAATTAAAATTATGTACCAATTTTCGAGCGAATTTTATTATGCGCATTCATTTTGAATACTTAAAAATATCTTTGATAAAATGAGATAGCGATATTTTTTCCTATCTTTTCATACATAAATTCTTCTCTTGTTGCATTAACAAGAACAAAATAAATTATGTCCTTTATTTTTATTCGATATCCGTTTCACATTAAACTCTAGTACATGTACATGTGTATCGATATTAAAGATAATTGACAGAATTCCTAAGGGTTGTTCAAACACATTTTATGATATGAATTTGTAAATTAGCAAAAAAATCATAGAATATCAACAATACCGTTTTGATTTATAACTTTAGTTCTCTGCAGACGTTTAAGGAAGGTGTCGCATCCTTCGTCAACTTCCGGTGACGTGTTCAACACGGGTTCGTTATCACCATTAAATGAGACCCACTGTGAACAAGGGGTGTCACGTTCCGGCACTATCATTGTTGACGTCAGCGTACTGTAAATCGTGAAAAAAGGCATTACGTTTAATGTATATTTCATAATTTTATAAATTTTATAAATATATATTTATATAAAATAAATATTTATTTGTAAATGTGGGAAGCCATTTGTTCCTGTTCAAGACAGTTTGTATGAGGGATCTTATTAATTAACTTCATGGCCTGTATAACACAAATATTTCTATGAAAAATAAATTGTGAAATGGTATTTCAATATCAGCAAATTTCATAGAAAATTAAGTATTGCTTTTTTTCTTAATATAGGTTAATTGTAATATGTGCATGCATGCGTTTTGTGTGCCAATCTTGTTATATAACAAAGGAACGTGTGTGAATACGCCAGTTTAATCAATTCGTAGCCTGCATACAAATTGATTCCCATTACCCACTTATATTGTAATATCTTAGCGGTTAACAAAATGTGGATATCAATTTGCATTTATTATCGACAACGTGACCAGACAAAATCAACCTCAATACCTGTTAACATGACGTACATATGATTTTTTATCTTATTATTAATAATAATTTTATTCATATGTATACAATTATATCATTAACATGTATTGTTATGATGATTTGATTGTTATCTACTTAACGGGTACTATTTCCTTTAATTCATGCCAGGGTTATAAATCGAAATCTGTTTTAAAATCATTATCAAATTCGTATAGGTATATCATATGTTGTGAGTGAAAGGGCCATGTATTCTACAAAAACCTCTCTTTTGTACTGTTCAAACTGTATTCAAAGTAATGTAGGCTTTTGTTCACTTAATCAAATTTCAGCCCTGTTAAATGATAATACAGAGTTCGGTTTAGAAATACGGGAACATATATTCTCAGTGCCATAGAAATTAATTGCTTTAAATGGTATTGGAACAGTAAAACTATTTACGCTTTACAAATATATACAATGACTTATTGTCACATATCTAATAGTATCTGCTTGAATAAAAAAGAACAGAATATAATTATAGAAATTCTTCACCTTCCTATAGACGTTAACAATTATTTCCAACCGACGTTTTAAAATGGAACACAAATTGATTAGCCATTGTCCAGTATGGAGCAAGGCCAGTCTTCAATGCAGTCAAGCCAGGCTCTATATCGCCGGTAGCTATTCAATACTTTGTGTTTTGATATAGTGCATATACCGGTAGTCTAGAATGAGCAGATTTTCCATAATTATTTCTAATTATTTATAACATGCTTGTTATGACATCATGGGCATATTGCCTAATGGAATAAAAGAATAAGCTGCTACTCTAAAACATCGTTGGTTACCCACTGTATTTATTCCGTATATAGATAATGTATAGGTAACAGACGATGTTCTAATATTGACCAAAAAAACTAATATCATTTAGATATTCTTATAAATTTTACTTGAAAAAAAATGTTGATAAAGTTCTAAGTGATTTAGTATCACATACAATATCATGTACACTAATATACAATAATATTTTTTTTTTGTTCTAGAACATTCAAATATCTGCTTTATAAATATATGTAATAATGAATCGTGTATCTCACACTTATCAACAACATTCATATATAATTTCTTTGGTGGTTTGTTGTTGTCCCATATTGAATACAATTGACAACAATAATTTCTTGTATTACAGGCCTTCCATTATAGGCCGATTCATGTTAAATTCACTAAAACTTTGAATGAACTGTTCCAAATTTAAAGCTGGGCAAACCCATTATGAATTTATGATCAATAAGGTTTAAATTATAGAAATTACAGACACATAAAGCCTCAGAAATTAATACATTTTTCTTTCCATAGAAGCGACAAACTTGTGTTTAATAATGTTGTAAAAATAGATTAAGAACATGTTAGATGATAATCACATAAAAGAAATAATGCTGACTGTGCAGTATGTGTGACAAAAGTAAACAAACATGTACTGTATTTAAACTTCCATACAAAATACTAAATCACTATAACAGTACTGATTGTCAAAACAGTAAAAGAAGCAAAGGATGACTCAGTCCTTATAGTCAATTTGGGTCTTTTTGAAAACCGTAACAGTGCACAAAATATAAAAAAGTTGATAAAAAGAAAATAAAGATAAAAGTATTTCTGAAGCTTAGTGGGCCTATAAGGATACGTAAGTTGAAGAGAAAAAAAATCATGTAAACTCCCCCATGCAACTATCCAAACAAACACCCACATCAACTCTGAATACTTATTGTACATCATTTATATGTATTTGTATCATAGTTTGGGGACCTTTCTGTTGAAAATGTGACAGAGTTAAATCGTATACATATACATGCACAGTGCGTTGGTATTAGTTACCCGCACTCCAGAGCATGCCCATTGATTGGTTCATTTTGTCCGGGGTTTACATATTGTGACGATAGAGAAAGGGAAAGCGATGTAAATATCATATTCAGATGCTCGTTCATTGGTTACTTTTTTGTGGGGTTTCATATTGTGGTATCAGGGAACGTGTTTTTATGTTTGACTATGATACAAAAGAGAAAGAACATCAAAACACTCGGTAATCTGATTTATACTCGGGGGCTACGCCCCCTCGTACAAATCAGATAGCCTCGTGTTTCGATGCTCTTTCTATTACTTAATTATTTTATGTTTATGAGGGACCTTTCAAAGTGGTTGTAATATGAAAACGACATAAAAATGGTTTTTAATATGAAAACGACATAAAGAGATTTAAGATTAAATTAATCAACCACCAGCCACACTGTCGACACCCTATTTGAATAGACAAATAGTAGAGATATAAATTAATTAATTGAATGTGTCAATATTTAAGACATAGCGTCAGGATGTATATCTTTTCCCCTATTTACCTATTTTACCTCTAAATCCAGTTCTCGTTCGGTTCTTAACATATTTTTAATGAAGTCACTGTGGCATAAATGTATTAATACTATGGAGAATACTAGGATGAATTTCGTGTTAATATTTATAAAAACGTCATTTCCTATGTTATAAATTATGTCACTTAATATGATTCAGAATCTAACAATGTTTCCATTGTTTTACCATAGTCGGAAAATATAACCATATCACTTTTAAAATGGAAGGGAAACTAAGTTTTAATCCATTTGACATGTAAAAACGTAAGACCTTATAAAAAGGGTGTATTTTTACTGAATGTAAAGAAGTATGAAACTTTTATGTCGGTTTATACTTACTAAACCACGCATGCGCCTGGCGCAATCTGTACTTGTTTATTGTGCATTTGTTCCTTTTTCCGGCTCATACAAAATTGAGTATTCGTCTTTAAGCGTATCTAAAACCGTTTATTATTATATTTTGCTTTGTTTTGTTGTTTTTGTTGTTGTTGTTTTGTGATAAATAGCTGATGCTAGGTATCGTTTCTCCCAACTATTACTATCGTCCACACAGTAAGGCCAAAGAGCAAAGTACAGAAATGCTTATCTCAAAATTAGAGAATGTTCATGTCCAATATCCATAAACTTATTTTGTTAAAATGAAAATACTGTTGACTTTAGCCAAACAGTGTTTCGTTAAAAGAACACATGTCCTCGCCGTATATTTAGTGCACTAAATCAAATAATAAATCTAAATCCAATAAACAAATATCTCCAGAAATGTATTTCGTATTTCAAATCCAACATATCATAAGCATTGATATTAACACAATTCCTTTCTTGAAAAAGAATCATATATTCCCTAGACACGGGCTATATGTTGTAACGCAAAACACTTAGTTGGGCTAAAAGACAGAAATATCCTTCCGCGTTAAGTAATTACTTCTAATCACGCTATTTTATAAAACTTCACATTTACGTTCACAACGTTCTCAAATGCAAAAAAGATTCAATCATTTAAGTGGCATACTGCCTAATTTCAAAGTTGGGAGAAATAGGTTATTAGAGAACGCCTAATTCTAACAATACTGGTTGTTCAATTCCGACGCCGACTAATTTCCTAGATGATTCTCCATATATTTTTATCAAACGTTATTCACTTTTATTTCGTTCTGTACAATTCAAAATGACGATTAATATATTTAATGATATGTTTTTCAAAATTAGATTCTTAAAATGAAAGCACACCGCTACTTACACATTTTAGCGGAGCTTTTCTCAATTGAGTGGAATTATTTAAATTAACGTCATGATTTAGTCAGTGTTTAGTCTAGTCTATTGATCGCACTTGTTTTGTATACATTTCCAAAAACAATATTTTAAAAACATTTCTTCCCGTTCTTTTAATCCCATGAAAAATATCCAATAAAAATGAATCAACGTTCAAAAGTTCGCATTATTACAATAAGCAAATATTTAAATTGCTATAAAAACTAAATTTGCGAACGATTTAATCTCCGGATAGACAATTTAAATATTTTTCACCGATCGCCCCACACAAGGGAACGGTTAAGTAATTTCACTTTATGATGTAGATAATAGTCCTAACACCAGTTTTAACCTTTTCTCAACAATAGAGCCCGTCATTTTCATTGCAACGCTCGAAAAATGGCAATGAAAGCCTCCAAATAACACCGAATAGGTCCGTCTTTTTAAATGAGCGTTTTACCTCGCTTTTCTCTTTTTTCATTTTCAATATCAATTGATTATCGATCGGCCTTCAGTAAATAATGCTCGACTACCATTCCATTATTTACTCCATATAATGTAGTTGTCAGTTTTGAATTAATTGCTTGAAATACGAGATTCCAGTATCCTTGATGTCACGTGATCAATAAAAGTGAAAATATACAATTGAGAACAAAGCTCCATTGTCAACAAAATATGTAAAGAAAAGTACGATTTTTCTCAAAACTGTAATTAATACTTTTCTCGATAAAGTGTTGAATCATATTTTGATCTTTTTAAGATTAATAAATAATTTTATTATATACTTATAAATGAAATATTGAGAAACATTGATGAAATAAAATGCGTATTTTCATTTTCCGTATTTTCTCTGTAAAAATTTATTTTTCACTGCAGTGAAACATATTTTCCGTATTTTCACTGGTGTCTTGCCGAACTACTTTCTTTTAAATTCTGCCAGTACACAAAATTTAAGGGAAAGTATTTCAAATTTTATCGCAAAAAAGAAAAATATATATATATAATAAACAAAAAATTCAAGTTTTTTCTATAAATACATGATTTATTTTCATCTTGTGGCATGAAAATTACCATATTTCACTCGTGGCTTCCGCCACTCATGAAATATTTATTTTCATACCACTCGATGAAAATAAATAATGTATTTATAGAAAAAACTTGAATTTCCTCTATGGATTTTATGTATCAATATTTTCTCAAAACTAATTGTTAAGATTTTGAAAAAGAAGACTTAAGCTAATACAGAAGACCGGTTGGGGCATTTAACTATGAATTTAATTATGAAATTGAAATCGCAAATACATCAAGTTGAAATCGAGAATTCATAAAAATGAACTTAATTAAATCCGTGAAGTTTTACATCGAGAATTCATGAAAATGAAAATATGAATTCGTGGTGATGAAATCGTGAAGATGAAACCGTAAATTAATGATGTCACCACCGGCGATTTTGGTTTTTCACTACCAATGATATTCCATAATGACATATCCCCCGCTTTTATTTTTCCATTACTTCTTGGCAATAAAAATCCTTACGGTGTCTTTGTTAAAAAAGCCCATTCAATTATATAACAATTAAATAAACAATTAACATTTGAATGTCTTAAAGCAGCATGCCTCCAAATTAATGCTAAATATATTTAAATGTAAAACATTGTACATTAAACAAAGAACGTAATTTACACATTGCAAATGGCACATTCATTACAATATCCAAAATAGCCCTGACTGCCTCACACAGTGGAAATATGGTGATAAATACTGAAAAATCAGTCGCCAATAGCACAGTACATGCAAATTATTCTTGAATCTTGAATCGTATGACTTTTCTTAAAATCTTAAGTACATTAAGCTCAAGTTTGATAGTCTTGAAATAGTTTTTGCTCATCTGGAGGCATGCAGCTTTAAAAGAAAGAAAAAACGGTCAATATGAGAATAAGTTTTTACCCTACCTTTTTTCAACAAATTCTATTTCATTATGGCTATAAACTTCAAAAGAGTATTCTATTAGAAGCATGCACTTTAGAATTGCCAGTCATATTACTTACATGTCATGTTTTATGATCTCACTTCCGGTGCAGTTGTCGTCTGATGAAGTGTTTTTAATTTTCTGTTGATCGCAATTTTCTTCTGTTGAAACAGACACGCAGACGTTTTTAGTAGGGTTCAAGGTCGTTGACGAATCAAAGCACGTGATTGTAGTATCATTTTCACGACTTTGTTGCCATTGTGACAAGTCCAGTTGTTTAGACAGCTCAATGTGTATTGCGTTTTTTGTGTTAACTTTACTTATTTTGTCAGCTTCTGTGTCCGTCAAAGATTTTTCAGCACTGATTGTGGCATTGTTATCAATATTCGTCACTGTGTCGCTTCTGCTACGCTGCAAGTCCGGAGGTATTTCCTCCTTTTTAGCTTCGTCTGTACAGGGTTTCAATGCGCCGACCGGAAGTTGAAACGAATCAGATTTTTTGTTTTCCGGAGAGTTGCTTGTTTTTGACTTTGAACCTTTTTTGCTTATTGGAGGAAGGTGAAGGTCAGTGTTGCTGCTTGGTGTAACCTTATCACACAAATTGGCTGAAATAAATATAGTTGAATGAACTCATTATCTTTACTGAACGGGTTTTTCCCCAAGACTGTTCCCATTATACAATACAATACAATTTTACAAAACAAATAGCCTAAATAACCTTATTGCAAATGAAAAGTGTTTATGATGTTTATAGCAAAAATCAAATACATGTATTGCATAATTTTATGTAAATGAGATCAGACATCTAAAAATGCACTCAAGATTTATTTGGCTAAAATTTTTATCATTCATCGTTCGTTCGTTTATATCATTGTCTTGCCATTAAAGCCAGCACTCTTTTATGGGAACTAGACATTGCGCCTGACATCACGCTGCAGTCAGTGGGCTAGTTTACATTCCCAATAAACCCCCCATAGCGAATTAAAAAATTAAAACAAGAATCTCCCCTCCAATACATATATGTCCCTAAAATTATGGTACTTAAAACAGAGACACGTTAATAAAAGGAAGTGTACCGTTTATGAAACGAGTCTAACAAAACTGAATATAGGTAATTATATACATTTTATCAGTGTATATTATATGTCTCTGATTTTATCAATGTATGAAAGTCTTTGGTCGATTGTTACGATAAATTGCTGGAATTATCAGCAATTAAAGCTTTACCATTTTTCCAAACGCGGCATTTAGCTCATTTCGCACATTAGACTTTGCCAAATAGAATATCAATGGTACCGTGTTGAAATCATGGAGGGCTTGATTAATATTTTACGCTTCAATAACGTCTTGATTTATATTTGCAAAAACAATTGTACAGATAGAGATCGAGTAAAACTAGAATTATTAATTGACTGTTTCCTTAATTGGCTCTATCGCAGACGGCACATCGTATCTACCCGACACCTCTTCCATGGGCGAGAATCGATTAATAAAAACAGTCGCAGTCTGAGATACAAATATTATCTCAAGAAAAAAATCTTCATATCAATAAATACTGAAAAGTACGCCGCATTTCCAATCAATTTTATTATAGTAAATTGAGCATATTCAAACAGATACGTTGGACCAATTCAATACCTACATTCCGCGATTTTTCCTTTTCGTACTTTATCATCGATTTGTCATTCGAATCAATTAGAAAACGATAAAGTACCACTCCATGGTTTATTTGAATTCTTGTTTGTTTTATGGAAATAATTTACCTGTACAATTCTTATTTGGACGCAGTCTTGTTTGACAATGGAAAGTATAATTATTCAGTAAGACTTAGCTATTTCACTTAGCAAATACAAGTCTAAGAATAAGCAATTCTATCAGAATAGAAATTGTTTCAAACTGAAAAAGGCCAATTCATTTTATTTGGGCAAATAGAAAAGCTCTTTATAGAATAGACTTAAGATAATCATTTTTAAAGGCACATTATGCCTCAGAAAGTTATTCTTTCTTTAGAAAGGGCAGACATGAGTTTTATATAATGTTTAAGTAATCTGTTTTAGAGCAAGGTACATGCTTATCACCTGAAGTCAGAAGTGACGAATATCAGAATATTTGCCATAAAAGTAGCAAAATGTAAACAAAGTAGTATTTTGACTTCTATACAAATACTAAATCAATATAACTTTATTAATTGCTATAAAGCAACAAATGTGAAAAAAAGATAATTGGCAAATTAGTTACTTTTTGGAAACTATAACAGAATATCAAAATTAAACAAATTTTGAGAAAGAAAAATAAAAGCATTTCCGAGACAAACTGAGCCGTAAAATAAAAAAAACAAGGAGTTGGTAAAGTGTAATGTGCGAAATGAGCTAATAACAACCGGGCAGGATTACTTTATGTGTACTACAAATTTAGTGAGCATTTAGCTGTTACTTTAAGCATGATAGATAAAACTCAATTTTGACCCTACCACTTACAATATCCAAAATTTACATTCTGGTATATATTTTATAATATTTATACATATCTTGAAGATCTAATTGATTAGACGATTGGCTTATAAATACGTACAATAATCTTGTGCCTAATCTTTGAAATGATGACATCATATTTATTCATAATGCCTCCAACATGTTATTATTATCTTCTTTTTTTTTACTTGATGCAGTTTCAAAAATACTCAGTCGCCATACTAGTATACAATTACATGAACTCTCTTTTGCTCGTTTCGCTCTGTTGGAAATGCATATAATTATAGAGGATGGAAGTCAAAATTCTACTTGTTACTTGTTTACAATATGCTACCTTAACGACACATTCCTTCACGTTCATTGCTACAGTTGTTAAACGTTTAACGTGCTCTTAATCCATTATTAAAACATTATTAACCATGTGTTTGACATTTCAAAATAAATAAACTATTTAGATTTCTGGGGCATAATGTGTGTTTAAAGTATCTAAATTTCTTACCATTATCATGTTTTGCGTTTTGCGAATCATTACTTTTTTCAACATTCTTTGTGTTAAATTTAACATTTCTCATAACATAATATTCGTCCAACAGCTCCTGACTTCTTTGTTCTTTTCTTTGTATTTTTTCTTTCAATTTTGTTAAGTTGACAATACGTTTTCCTTCCATTCTTATCTCTCGCCGTTTTTTCTTTAAGCGGTCTTTTTCCATCTTTAAACGTTTCTTCTCTGCGTGCAACTGCAAGGAACTTCTGCACATGTCCACGTGTTCTGATAATCTGATCTGCTGTGTACTTTGGTGTTCCTTACATGTGTCATCTTCATTTTGATATGGTACATGCTGTATTGAAGTATGCCGATCCATTATAGAACTTAACCTAAAAAATCAGTTAAAGATCCTGTATGTTTTGTGATTGATATTGTTACTGCCTGTATACCACACTTGCAAAAGAATATATATGTATATAATTATGCAAATAAAACAATTTTCAAACATCCAAGAATATGTAAAATGTGTACTGCAAATATTTGTGCACATTATATGTAATCAATAAATTGCATGCATTCATTTCTTATTGGAAAATTTGACTTGGAATTTATAGAAAATAACTTTCTTATTACCTCCCTTTATTTACATGAAATGTTAAATTGGGTAATATCGTTATAAATAATGCTTATTGGAACTTACAATATTGACAAATCTTAATTTGAGGATCATATTTTTAAAATAAAACCATGAAAAAATTGTGTTACATCTCGGCTATTAGTCATAATATCTGAAGTTTGACGAAAAGGACCGAGAATGTGCAGTTGCATAAAAAATGCTCAAAATTGTAACCAAAAGAGTGAAAAAAAATCTCTTTCTAGGGACACACAACTGAAAAAAAAGGATTGTGACCCCAAAAGTATTTTCATTAATTTGTTTCAATCATAATTATTTCTCTTTGGCCATACAAAGTGTAAAAATAATTATTTACCGCTTTTTGAATGTGTTTAAAACTTCCAGTATTCCCGAATGAATGAATAAATAAGAAGTGTGTGTGTGTGGGGGGGGGGGGCACAAAACAGGAAACATAGTAATGACCTGAGTTAGACTCAGCCTTCTGATCTCTGGGTTGAGAGACAGTCTTCTTAATCACTAGGCAACCGCTTCCCTTACTTTCATTTGTAGACTATTAAAGAAGTTATAAAAGGGGTAAATAAATTTTAATGGGGTTCTAAATAGAAGGTTTAATACATGCATTAGTAATTTTACTTTTATATTGATCATTAATTATATTGAATAACGCATTAATACCGTTTATGTAGGGTAACTCGCGTTAGTTCCTCCTCGATCACACGACCTTCACATTTGACACAATGGTGCTGAGGCTGTTTCACAAAACCAGGATTAAAGTCACGACTCTGCTTATACACAATTTATAATAAATGAAATATAATATATAAAGACTATCTTTTAGAATATTGGTTAAGTCTTGGAAACAATTTTCTATTTACTTTTTTGTTTAGCTTGTTTAACGACAGCATTTGATTCTATAAATTATAATTTATTAACCACTTAGTCCAATTACATACCTGGCATACATAATTATATACAAAAACGTCTAAATAGTAAAAAAACTTGAACTTCCTGTGATTGTACTTGCTTTTGGAAAGCGAGATAATGCTTCTGGAAAATGATGGAACGGTGTAAGCACTAGTTATCTCTCTTTAATTATAAGCAAAGATAAACTTAGCAGAGTGATTAATTAAGTCATTTTGTTGTTTACTTACATAAGATTGCTGTCCTTGCTCTAGTCTTTCCGGGCATATAAGCCTTTGGCCACCTACCACAACTCCTTCCAGACTAGGTAAGAAGTTGATGGGGCTTGGAGGCGGGTTGTCAGGGGAGTGACTTAACGTCCTATCTTCAACAGAGTCCAATAAGTCACTCTTCTGTACTTTAATCTGAAATAGATGTGTAATGTTTGAATTCCTCGCAGGAGACTGTGCAATATCCCTCACCCCAACTTTTGTAAAAGTTTCTTTTCTTGATGTCATATGAGGGAAAATGTTTCAGTTCAATATCTCATTGCATACATAATACATGCATCAAATATTTACACAGCTATGATTTTTACATAGTAATTTACGAACTTTTCAACATTGTCAGGGCTTTCAACATTTAAATTTCTTAAAGTAATAGTAATCTATTCTTTAAAATATTTGCATAGGAAATGTGAGTAATAAATCATTAAAAAAATTGCCAAAAAGCGTTCCAATAAAATAACTATAAAACAACATACTGTAGCTTGCGAACGGTCCTCGACGTCCCACATACCGTGCAGACGAGGTTTTGAACCGACCACACAGAAATCGGGGGCGACGGCCGATTTAGTGCGAGATATTTCCTTGTCGGCAAATTCACAGTCTTTCAAACGGACGGGCGTGGTGGATAGCGACTGAAATGTAAAGACAAAATTATTGCTTGAAAAAGTTTAGGGGAAATCGTCATTAAGAAATCAAAGGAAACATAAATCAGAACACATACATCACAATCTAGAAACCAGACCACATCTTATGGAGAAAATGCTCGACAACCCGGCCAATAGCATGCGTTTTTCGACTGACTTATATTGTAGTGTTAGGTTTGCGGAAACATTGTGCCTTTATAAACGATATATATTGTTTCTTTGCATACAAAAACATGGTTTCTTTGTATTCTTAAGGACACTTTTTGACAATATATAACTTATTGAGCTTTTATGAATATTTAAGCATGTTATAAGAATGCTAAAACTTAACCACAAATAACTTGGTTTTAATATTACATGTATATACATATATGTATATATAATAATACGTGTTGTTTGTTTGTTGTTGTTGTTGTTAGTGGTGGTGGTGTTGCTGTTGTTGTTAATTATTATTATATAATAATTATTATTATTATTACTATTATTATTATGAAATTATTTTCATTTACAGTGCAACCTCCATAGAGCGGCCCTCTATATATGACAACCACCATTTACAGCAAAGAGTTTCAATTTATCCAACATAGAATTTTTACCACTCTAGAGCAACACCATTCAGCAACAATAAAACTATTTGTCTACCATAGGGTGTTTGCGCTGCAGAGGCTATACTGTATTTACTGGCCAAGCTAGCTATTTTATATACATGTATTTACATCACCTTTGAAATGGGACTGTCTGACTCTCTTCCGTCACATAATAACATTGTGGACCGGGGTATCGGGCTTGAAACCGGCGAGGCAGTCAGTGTAACTTCCAGTCTTAGATCTATGATGCCAAAGGATGTTTGTCTGCTCAGGTTACTTCGTTTGTTTGGAGAAATACATTTTGTCTGCAAGAAATAATCAATTTCAAAAATGCTTCTAAAACATGATTAGATCTGAATATGCACAAGAGCGACTATAGTTTAAAGCTTATATACTGGATTATAGCATAAAGATTAGATCTATATAGGTCTGTAATATTTTGCACGTGGATGATTTGGCTGGTAGGTTTCTTACAACTGCATTTTTAATTTAAATTGTCATTGTGATATAATATCAATAATATAATAATATTAATAATGTAATATCAAGGGAGAATTCAAGATCTGGGAAATAGTTCATGGGTTGGAACTAAAATAACGGAGCTAAACACATGTGAGCAGCCACTTAAATGTAGCAGTCTTACATTCGAGTCCCTGTCAAGCAACTTTCCCATCTTACCACGTAATAACCCGGTAAATGAAACATTGACTCGGCTTCTTTTGAAGATTTTTTCTCCTTCGCCGTAGCTAGATATATCTAGGCATGAATCCAAGATATTTTTATCAGATAAAGGGTTGCAATATTTTGACAATGGTCAATATGTACATATTTTTCAGACAGTCTGTGGCATTTTACTAGTTTTCCACAGATTGTCACGAGTCAAATGTTTGCTTATTTTGACTTGTTTTTGTGTGATCTCACTTAAAAGCGTAAGTTGAAATCCAAATTAAAGAGGGTTTTGACATACAAGTATTCAAAGCCCGGGGTCATGACAACGTCGCCCCCCCCCCCTCCCCACCACCACTACCCCTCATGATTGTTAATTAAAAGGCTATTTTTCTGTAGAAAAGGAAAACGTTAAACTTGGCTTATCAGTTACTGTAAAAAATATTAACTCCTACCTGAAGCCGTTTTCTATTAAGAAGGGAGCTGGATGAAGACCCACATGTTCTGAGCGAGACTGGAGAGTTACATTCTGCGACAGTTGCTGTCGTCATCTCACTTCCAGTCTAACCCATAACAGGTTAACACGGGTTTTAACGCAGAAAACTTTTCATTACACCATTTTCCCTGTTCTGCACGGAACTATATTAAAGACGTCATTGACGTTACTTAGTGACGACGCCTGCGACGTAGTCAAACGTTTGACATCATAATGTTGCTTTTGAGTTATCAAATTTTTTGTAAAACTGATAATGAAAACTTAATTTGATGACGGTAACATATAAAGAAAATACATGTCGATAATATATAAAAAAAATCAACACAAAAGCAATATTTTGTTCTTTTCTACCCTAATGTGCGGATTTTTATTAAAAAAAAAATAGACAGACGCATAAATTCTTGCTTGTGTCGCGAAATAAGTTTTAAAAAAGTCGGAAGCTGTCCGAAGTTGTTTTAGTTACAATTTCAGTATTTTTAATGGAAAATCGCGATTAAATGCTGTACAGAAGCTGAAAAAAGAGTCTTTTAAGTAAGTTAATAAATATTTGATATTAATACTAAATGATGATTTTAAAGAAATTTATCATAATTGGATAACATAGTTTGTAAACCGTATGGAAAACGAGAGAGTGAAGTCAACAGATTTCGGATATTGGTATTTTTCTGTCTAAAAGGGACAATTTGGCGAATAAAATGTAAAACTACTGCTTTTGAACAAAGCATCTATAAAGAACATGTCTGCAGACCATATAATGATTTAAAATAAAGCAGTTACTTTATGAGAAATCGACAAGTAAATCAACAGTTTAACAGTTTGTGCTGACTTTTTTCTTCACTATAAAATTTAGTTCTGGCTTCCAAAACTTTATAAGCCGCTTTTTATCATTTTTGTTTTTCATCTGATGCGGCATTAAAGTTTTTGATTAGACCTGTTACGAAACCTAACCAGAATAACATAAGATGATTTATTCTTGTTTTTCACTTGCAAATACACTTGACCTAATCAATTCTTGTGCATTTTACGATAAAACAATTATTTTAATATCATTCTATACCAATTAAAGTATCAAAATATTAATACCGTCATTAAAATTGCCTATTTAACTTTAAAATATCCATTTACGCCGACTACAGTCGGCCATGACATTCAGCTGCCACGCGAGACCTCGTATGACGTCATTCGCGGGAACAGATTTGAATAGAGTCGTGTACTATATTTAGAACATTTTGTTGACATGATTTTGATATTTTTATTCAAGATAATGTTTTTATTTATTTTCATTAATTTTTTAGTACTTAAATACGATTTTATTGAATATAAAAGTCAGTAAATCACCTTTTTCAATATCTTTAAAAAAGTAATAAATTTATAAAAATATTGGAGGCACATGGGTTCATATAGGTCAATCTCGTAATCACGTGGTCAAACATTTTGGCAATATGGCGGCAAAGTGCCGAAAATTTTACCTGTCGAAAACTATTAGGTAGTTTATGTTCGTAATAAGATTTTTATTTGTCCATCCTTGGCTTATCAACAGATTATATATAGTTTTATCAAGGTATGCTTCACTTTACTTCATGGCATGTTCGATGAATAAATACGAGCGTGTCAGATTCCTGGCACGATTATTGGTGAACTTTCCCTACGGGGTTATCTTCAGCGTTCACGTCATGTCATAGTATATAAACAGGTACGCTGAAGACCTTAAGCTATATAAAATTAAATAAAATGACTATGTTTTGTGTTTGTCTTTTTAACTTGTCCAAAAGACATACAAAGTCTACTAATTTGGCAATATCCTGTAATTGTCCCCCGGAGACTTATCTATTTCTTCTACTGTAAACAATGGCAAACTTAACTTTCAGTGTTGATCTTGATTACACAGACGCTTTCTTCTACACATAATTTATGTAAATTTCACTTTTATTTATAATTTAAAATCCGATTATCCTGAGACATCAGCAATGCTTGTATATTTAATTTCCCAAAAGCCTTTTCTTTTTATAAAATTTGCTGTACTTTTGTGATTTTCAAAAAGTTACGCCTTGGCTAATTACCTGAACTACAATGTACCTTTTTTCTTTGGTTGGTTTTAAGCAATTACCAGTTAAACATAAAAAAGTGTTTCTGCCAGACTAGAATATTGGGGTCATTTGGTTTAAACATATTTATTTAAGCTCAATTGCGAAACAAGATCTTGAAACTTATATTAATCACTTTGAGTTCGCTTCATGGAACCAACCAGTTCTGGTGTCATTTAACATGATTTAATTGTGACCCTCTGTCTAAAAATATTGGGGGTGATATATAAATAAGAAAGTGATTAGTCATATGGGCTAATATATATTTGCTAGCCAAAAGTTATAGCCGTACGTAAGTCACGTTGAGGCTAGACATACTGCATTTTTAAAATAGATAACTTTAAACAATAATGAATAATTACGAATTATTACGCAAACTTGTGTTTCTAAAAGAAGATTTTATTGAATATCATGAAAATTTTATCAATTACAGTAGATCACGGATCAGTTAAAAGTACGACAGAAAATGTGACTGAATCAGTTAAAAACTTATAGATAAACACAGGTACCGGATACAAATAAATTTCAGATAATCAAACAATAATTGCCAATATAAATGGGATGGCACTAAAAACAGAGGTTTAAAAGACATTTAAAGTTAAGGTAGATTATGAATGTGTCTTTATAAGAAAAAACACTTTGAAAATTTCAATGCATGAAATTATTGCATCAGAAATGCAAGAAATTTACATGTATTTAGCTTCACTACCTAGGATAATATAAGAACATGTATATGTAAATCTCATCAATTTAAATAACAATATGGTATTCGATTTTGTTATTGATCAAATGGCAAAAGTAAAATAGTCACTGTTTTTTATTTAAATGTCATAAAGTCTGAGAAACACAATATGTATTTTGAATAATTTTCATTTTCAGATTACTGTTAATACAAGTGTAATGTGATGCTAGATACATGTAAGATGTTTTAGATGAGCAAACAGTTTATTTAAACTTCAAGACAAATAGGATGGAACAGTATACAATATTAGGAAGAGTTGGGGAAGGAGCTCATGGCATTGTGCTGAAAGCAAAACATATTGAGGTAATTTTATTGTCCATGATTTATATGAACTGTATATGATCATTAGAGACTGTATTTTTAATGCCAGGTGCTTTAAATCACTAGTGGTTACAGCTAGGTCTGCTATATTTAAATCATATGACTGCAATGATTTTGAATTGAGCAAGTGAGGTATATTGAAGCTGTCCTGTCAGGATTATGTTAGGTTTTTGGCATCACCAAATAGGGATAGGGGGCCATCTGACTCTAAACAAAAAAAAAACAACAACAATAGAGTTCATTGGGTAACAATAAAGTAAGTGGTCATTGGCCCTCTATTAAACAAAGGAAAATAAGGAGAGCATTTCGTAGAGAGCTTTCTTGTCAATCCTGGAGCAATTTATGTATTCCAATTTTGTTTGTAAATATGGAAGAAGAAATGAATATTGTTTAAACCAAAAGAAAACAACACAAGAAATGGCCCCTTATTCCATTTCGGCCAGACAGCCATCCTACTTACGTGATCTTTAACAAGTAAACTACAATTCTGCCATATAACATAAACTTTATAACAATAAAAACAACAACAACAAAAACAAAACAAAAATCATAAGAGTGAGTTTTATGTGGATTGAAACTGTCAATAATTCTCTTGTGCAGTCAACTAAAATTGATTAACATTGGTAAAATTGGAAATATAGACAAAGGATATGTTAAGAAATCTTTGTTTGCCATATGCAATTCATGGTTTTAGTTGAAACTAATTGTTGTTTCTTTTTTATCTTTAATTTTTTTACTTACAGAGTGGTGAAGTTGTTGCTCTTAAAAAAATACCTCTGAGGAAATTAGAAGATGGTATTCCAAATACTGCACTCAGGTAGGATTTGTCATAGGGATGATACAGTCACATTTTGTCCTATACATTTGTTTTATAATAGAAAGTAATATTCACCTATAAGAAATACTTTTCGTTCAAAGCTTTGTTTGACCAGCAGCACAACAGTAATGATGATGAGTTCAAAACTCCAAATGATTTTCTCCTATTTCATACATTACTCAATGACTGTGTCAAGTTTAAAACAAAATACCTATAAACATGTCTTTACTTTAAAGAGACCCTATGGAGCTTTTTTTTTGACGAAACTGATCCTCATATTCTTTTCATGATTTGTTTTGGCATCACAGTTAATTATTTTTTATTTCAGGGAAATCAAAGCATTGCAAGAGATTGAAGATAATCCATATGTAAGTTACATACAGTCTGAGTATGAATATATCTAAAACATTTGCTTTAAAATCTAAAAGGCTGTATAAAATATTTTGAAGTTACACCAAGTAGCCATAAATTCAAATGTTTTGTTATTTGTGAGTTTTATTAGTTTTCCTGTTACTGTTACAGTAATGGTCACCAGCTATTTTATTGGAATTTAGCATAGGTTAAACAACTGAAATTTAAAAAATAATAAAAAAAATATAAGATTTCAAAATGCTTTACTTAAGAAGGTTCGATATTTTACATTTTATTTTTATATGTGTATAAATGTGAAAGTTGAATTCATTTTCCTACTTTGAATTCGAAATAGCCCATTGTCAGTTATAGATATTTTAATATTGAATATATTTAATATTGAATGTGGCAAAGTGGATAAGGTTGTTGACTTCAAACCTCTTGCCAAGCACCGCTGTGGGTTTGAATCCCGACAGGGACTTTGGATTATTTCATGTAAGGAAGCTATCCAGCAAGCATATGTGCAGCGTTGGTTCTACTTGGATGCCCGTTAGTGCCTAAAATAATGTGCAGAAGTGCACCTGAGGTCTTCCTGCAACAATAAAGCTGGAAAGTCACCATATGACCTATATTGTGTTGGTGCGACATAAAACCCAACCAAAAGAGAGAAAAAAAGAAAGAAAAAAGAACCCTAAAACTGAGAAGATGTCAGCATATAGTGTCTGGTCGGACTTAACGAATGTACTGGCTGGCCTGGCTCTATACTGGTGGCAAAAGCCTATTTTTATGACAGACTGATTTAAAATAAATGTGTTTGTTTTGTGTATTACAGGTAGTTAAACTAAGAGAGGTGTTTCCACATGGAAGTTCATTAGTGCTGGAGTTTGAGTACATGTTCTCAGATTTGTCAGAAGTTATACGTAATTCTGACAAACCATTGTCAGAAGCCCAGGTGAAGTCCTACATGCTAATGGTACTGAAGGGAGTTGCATATTGTCATGAAAACAACATCATGCATAGAGTAAGTTAATGTTGATATTTTTTATTGTGCGTCGGAACCAATGGGTACCAATTTCGCTGAACTACATTCATCATGAATGAAGTGTATACCTTAACATGAATGAAGAACAAGAACATGTAGGTTACTAAGGATGATATTTTTTAGTGAAATAAATCATTATTATAATTATTTGCATAAATTTTGTCATGACCGTGGAACTTTGCTTCTCATTTGAAATGATTACACATTCATAATTATATATAAACCAAATCTGAAATGATGGCATAGCCAAGTGGTTAATGGGTTGGACAAGTAATCAAATGATTGTTAGCTGCATGGATTCAAATACCCATCAGGGTCAAGTCATTGTTCTCTTGAGTAAGAAACAGTACACTCATTACTCAATACAAGTTGGTTCCAGAAACAGAGTCGAAAGTGTGTCTATAAGTTTATAGCTTCCTACACAATAAAACTAAAATAAGTTCTGTATAAACCAAACAAAATGGTTATCTTCATTTAACTGCATCGTGATTCGTGAGAGTATATAAAACATGGGACAAGGAGGATATAGTACAATAAGTTATACAGAAAGAAAGTATCAGAAAACATTATGTAGGGGGCGGGCTCTTTTCATGACAAAATGCAATTACGTGTGTGTGTTCTACGCTTAATAAGAGTACCCTGTCATTCACTAAGAGTACAGACGCTGGACATGTCACCAATCATGTCAAATAGTTTTTAATTGCCAAATGGTGACCTATTTATTTTGAATCCAGTAATTCATTTTTTATTTCTTTCAAATGCAACTTCTTATGCAGGTATTTAATGTTTATTACCTCTATTAACTATTATATGTAAAATTAGAGGTACAGTTTTGTAGAAGATTATACTATGTGTATATATTTTTTTCTAGGATTTGAAGCCTGCTAACTTGCTGATAAGTTCTACAGGTCACTTGAAGATTGCAGATTTTGGCTTGGCTAGAGTTTTTCAGAATAAAGGAAACAGATTATACAGTCATCAAGTTGCTACCAGGTAAGTTCTGGTATATCTAACTTCTAGATAAGCATAGGGGTAATGCATCTGAGTAGGTAGATTTTATATGATGTCTTTGGTCATATGACATTATGACAGAGGTCTTAAAAGTAATATAATCTAGCTTTTGCAAATAACACACTAAAGAGATGTAGAAGATATTTCTTCTTGGGTGGTCTCATGAATGATAAAGTATATTTTTTTTGTTAAATTTTGTATGAGCTTTAAAGTTAAAATTGATAGAAATGGCATCAAAGGTAAAGTTGATTAGATCTTCGCTTAAATATTCCTTTGCAGATGAATTTCTGCAAGAACCTATATCTTTTTATGTGGAAATATTCTACAACTGGAATTGGTTTCCTTGGATATGAAGGTCAATGACTCGATACATAACATAATATAACACAAACATTATGTTATGATATACAAGGTGATGATTGAACATTGTCATAATTCCTAAATTATACAAGTTTCAACTTTAAAAGTACAATACACTATGATAAATATAATGAGAATTTAATATATCAGCTTTTACTGTTCCTCTAATGTTTATAGATAGTATTTGTGTTTATTATTTAGATGGTACAGAGCACCAGAGTTGTTGTATGGGGCCAGAAAATATGATGAAGGAGTTGACTTATGGTATATCTTCATTTATAATACTGCATGTTTGTAAGGTCGCTTTTTATTGGATAATTTTATTGTTTATATAATCTATATACACAACTCTTGTAAATTTATAATAATTTTTTGTTATCCTCAAATAAAGTGATTTTGCTGTTAAAGATGACTGAGATGTTATATGGCAGTGTATAAATGGTTGTTTTTAATATAACCAGATTCCTTGAGCTTAAAACATTTTATATTGAGCCATATAACTTGTCAGAAAGCTTGATGTTGATATAATGAAAAAGAATTTCATATAGTTTTTGTTTGGAAAGTAACTTCTATTGGCAATTTGCAGAATGATGCTTGTCATAAAAAAATACAAAATTAAAAATTATAATGAGATGTAAATTCTTAAAGATTATATTCCTAATTGTGTGTGGTGATAATTTGTAGAGAAAATATATTTCGACAATGTCACCTTTCAAAGTAATTTTTGATGCACAGCCAAGTCTTATGATGTACATTAGATAATTTGGAATTTGCATAAATTTTGGGATTGTTTGATCACTTTTAACCAGGTTTTCGGAAGGAAAAAACTGGTCATTAGATTGCGGTATGTCGGTGGGCGGGAGGGCGTAAACAATATCTTCTGTGCGCAACTGCTCCTACATTTCTCAAGGGATTTGTAATTCATATATTTGATAAGAAACTGATATTTATATCATTAAATTTTAAGATGTTTTTAAGTACAGAATACCTTTTTGAAAATAAAGAAAGGGTTTTTAACCATATTTTGCAAATCAGTGGTGAAAGACAAAAAAGTGAGATTCTAATTCACACTGGTGTGAATACTGGTTAAGACACCCAAGAAGCAGTTATTTAGCAGGACTTTCAGCACTGTCTTTTAACATTTGCATGGAGGTTTGCAGTATGATATTAAATACTAATTATAAATATCAAATGTAATATTCTGTTTGTATTTCAGGGCTGTTGGTTGTATTTTTGGAGAGCTTCTAAATAACTCACCACTTTTTCCTGTAAGTAAATATCATTAAGAATGATAACATTAAGTACATGTATGGCATTGAATATATTGAGACAAATTGTTCACATGATTAAAATAATGGTTTCTTAGTATCTGGTAGTATACTTCAGTTAGATTATTAAAAAAAATGTACGTGTGTATTTGTATTTCAATACTGTATTTATTATCATCATCATCATCAACATAATCTTTATTGTTGTTATCATAGTCAGAATCAAGTCCATCATTTTCATCATCACCATTATCATCATCAGCTTAGTCATCATCTAAATACTTTATGAAATATCTATCTAATTTTCATTGCTGTAATCATCATCATTATCATCATCATCATTTATACTTCATTATCATCATCTTTTAGACTTTGTTTGAATTCTTTTACAGGGAGAAAATGACATTAAACAATTATGTTGTGTTCAGGGAGTACTTGGTACACCAAATGAAAAGATCTGGCCTGTAAGTAAAATCATATTTCTCTATGAATAATATTGAAATTAATAGGACTAAAACTGTTATAAATAATAAGTTAATAAATTAATTAAACATGTGAGACATAGTTAGACGGTTTTCAACAAAGATTTCAATGTTATTGAATTTAAAGACACCTATGAAACCATGTAATAAAAAGACTTAGCCTTGTAATTAACTTAAATCACTAATTTTAAATTTTAAGTCTTATCTGCAAATAAATCAGGCCTTTGCTTCATCAGTGCTTCCATCTTGAATTCTGTATGCTTGTATTAATTCAAGGTTTGACTTGAATATCCTATGACTTTTACCTATTGTATAATTTGATCATGATGTTATTTCAATATTAAGGGCATGCACGAGTTACCAGATTACAACAAAATCACATTCCCGGAAACTGACCCCGTGCCATTTGAAGAGGTTGTACCAGATGCTTCAAAAGAAGCCCTGGATTTGTTGAAGAAATTTCTAGTTTATCAATCAAAACATAGAATCTCTGCTAAGGAGGTAAGCTATTGGTCAACAATCACCATTATGATGGGTGAGATATCACTGTACATATATTTTTCTGTCCATATTCCTGTCCACAATTATATATTTAAACAGAAATGATGAGCAATATATAAAGTTATACCATAATTTTAAAAACCAATGCTCATTACATCATTATGTAAATATCTGATATTTTTTGTGTACATGTCTTTATTCTGCAAAGTAAAGGCACAGTAATTGTCACCCATCATACAAACATGAATGTGATAATTTTTAATTCAAAATAGATATCATGACTGATCAAGTCAAATATGCAGACATGGTTTATAACTAAATTAAGTTGGTGCTAAATTCTAAATTAAAATCATAATACTGGTCTTTGGTACATAAAAATGGCAAAAGTGTATTTATTTTAGAGAGAAAACTTAAATAATTGTGTCGACAGATTTGTTTTTTGGCAAATACTGCAATGGTCTACAAGCTATTTTTCTTAAAAAGCATTTTTATTGTCATTTGTTACTAGGCTTTAGTTCATCCATACTTCTTCACGGAGCCTCTACCAGCACATCATTCTGAGCTACCAATTCCTCAACGCAGTCAACGTGGTCTCCAGCGGCGACAGAATGCACACCAGTACAACATTGACAACCCACTAGAAAAATCTCTCATTGACCCAGAACTTCTTGCACCTCATGTTGTGAAAATAAAATGAGGTTTATAGTTGAACAGGATTTACATATACACAAGAAAACATTGAAGCAGACAACAAGTTTTAGCAGTTTGTGAGAAAATGAAACAATATAAGTAAAATAGTTTACGGAAATTTGTCCATTGAATGGAAATAATGAATTAATTGTAATTGGATTGCGGGTACTTCAAATATTGTTGGAGGAATCTGTTTTAGAGCTGAACTTATGTGATAAAATTTACTTCTGTGCAGCTGAAAGAAATATATTTTAATATCAGGCTGTTGGTTTTTGTTTCTAAAAACACTGTGTTGATTTCAATGTAACATCCAATTCGGTAAGAAGTGTCAGTAGCTTATCTTTGTTATTCAGGCCTATTTATATATTGTTGATCATTCATTTTGTGACAAACAGTTATAGATATTCTTTGAAGCATGTAAAAACTATTTTAGTAAACAGTCCAGTGTTTAATTGAAATATTTTTTACAGAGTAGCAAGGGTAATAATATCAAGTTTTTGTTTGAGAGACATAATCATGTACAATATTTTAAATCTCATGTTTTAGAAGGATATAAGATTGTTAATGGGTGTCAATAGTCTGTGTCTTATTTGCTATAGCAAACATTTTATAATGATAATATTAAAACTTTTAATTGCTCTTTACTAATACATTTGGCAGCAAACTTTAGAGAAGGAAGTCCAAATAAACTATTGTTTGCATTGCTTTTAAAATGCTGCAAGATACCATATATTGCAAAGTATGTTTTTCTTTTCCTTCTTATTTGGAAATGGTTTTTAGATGTGTTCTATTCTTTAGCTTGCTTGTGTCAACAGATTCTACCCATGAAACCAGTGCAGACCAAGATCAGCTTACACAGCTAGCATTGTCATCTGATCATGGTCTGCACTGTTTGTTATTCAGTCAGTACATGTTTTGAAATTCTCCCTTAAAATGATGAATGGTTTTGTCCATATTGTAAGATGGACAAGTCCATTTAAAATATTTAGCATGGTAAGGGTTAAAATGGTTAGGGAGCAATCAATGGTGTTACTGATATTCTTGTGTAACCTTAACAATGCTAAATATCTTAAATGGACCTGTCCATCTTTCATTCAGGGCAAGACCATAAATCATTTTTTAGGGAAAATTTCAATTTTGTCCTGACTGAAAAGTGGACAGTGCAAACCATGACCAGACAGCACATTTATGACAGCTGATCCTGGTCTGCACTGGTCAAAGAGGTAGATTTTGTAGCCGGCAAAAGAATATGGATAAAGATTCATACTGACTTCAAAGACAGTGGATACAAGTGTGTAGAATAATTTCTGTTAGTTATATGTTAAGTGATCCGTCCATTATTTATCGTCATATTTGGAAATATGTTTTTTAGAAACTATAATTTTAATAAATTTTTACAAATTGTTTTGTATATTTACTGCTGTTCTGTTAATTCAAGTCATGGAATTATTGTTTATCTACAAGTACTTCTTGTACACTGTTAACCATTATATATATAGAACCTGAGTCCAGCTTTCACACCTTAGAAGTTTGATCAGGCTATATATTATTGTTAGCTCATTCTTTGTATTTTGATATTGAAATGACTGAATTAAACAGATTGTTCAACATTCAAAGCATGGTAAATCCATTACAAAAATTTAGCAGATAAAGGGAGCTCACTCTTTTAGTCTTGTGTAAGTTTTTAAGTAAAAAAGGGAGGTAATTGCTTTAATTTGTCTCTGTGAAGGGGAAATTCCATCATTTTGAATGTTGAAAATCAACAGGTTAAATCATGCCACGAACCTTCTCACCTTCCTAATTCCTCTCTAGGTTTAATCATTAAGTTTCTTCCATTAATGGATTTAATCTTCTGACTGAGTGTCACTTACTAGATTGGTTCCTTTCTGGTTCCCTCACCACAATACATTAGCGAGAACAAGAAGCATCTTTTATTTATAATATTGTCCATGTAATATTGATTTTATATTGAATGTCAAAAGTATAACATTGTAATCAAGTCAATGTTATTACATCACATGAAGTATAAGCCTAACCATAAAATGACACTTCGATTATCTGATACATAATGTGGAAAATCATCGTAATTCTTTGAAGCCTCAGATAGCCTTTGTCGCTGAAATTAATTGAAGCTTGGGCTCGGAATTGATGATTGTGATGATGGGGATCTGACTTCAATAGAATTAATGTAATTGAAATATCCGGTCTGTAATATTTTTGTCACATCATGCTATCTACAAAAGTTAAAGTTAATGACATAAGGGTTTATTTTTGGTAGCAGTGGATTGTGTGTGTGTTTACTCCAGAAATATTAAAATGCCTTATATTTTGATATTCATTATTTGATGAAAATGGGGGAGGAGAGTTGCTAAGTATTTTTTAAAGCTGCATGTCTCCAGATGCGCAGCAAGCCAAAATATTTCAAGAAAAACAAACTGTAGAAACATGTACAAAAATTTTAAGAAAAGTAAAAAGATTCAAGTTGTAATTCACATGTTATGTGCAACTGCATACTGATTTTGTAGTATTTTTCACCATATTTCTATTGTGTGACTAACGCAGTTAAGAGTTATTTTTGCACATTTTGACCTCTCTTTTGGTTATTTACTTTATTGTAAGTCCACTTCACAATATCTTACTTTTAAATACATTTAATTTTCATGAAATTGGGCCTCGTGAATCTGGAGGCGTGCTGCTTTAACAAGTAACATAAATAATGTACTTGCCATGCTTTGGTATAGGAACTGTCCATTCTTTGTGAGGGGAATTTTTATGTGCAAATGATAGTATTAAACAGCTAACAGTATACAGTCTGGTAAGATCACATGTAATGTACAGGTTGACCTTGCTCAATTACAACTTAGGGGCATCCGTGGCCGAGTGGGAAAGGTTGTCAACTTCAAACCTTTTGCCTGTCAGCTCTGTAGGTTTAATCTGTGCAAGCGTCTTTGGATTCTTTCATGAAAGAGAGCTGTCCAGTTAGCTTACTGAATGTCGGTGGTTACCGGTATACTTAAACCCTGTTTGTGCCTGAAATAATGCACAGAGGGGCACCCGAGGTCTTCCTCTACCAGTAAATCTGGAAAGTCGCCATATGACCTATACTATGTTAGTATCACATGAAATCCAATAAAAAATCAAAGCACAGAAGGCGCTGAATTTGTTTGGGTCTCAGAATGTAAGAAAGGTGCAAGTTGTGAGATTATAAACCAATTTGTTTTTGTAAAGTGCCATCAATGCTTTTCAGCGTTTTAATTATAGTAAATTGGCTATAAGACTAATTGCAACACTGATATTCAATCCAATGTTTATTTGACTTAAACAATTTGAAAAAAAAATGAGTTGCCTTAAATGGGATTTGAACTCCAGACCTCTCGCTTCCTAAGCGAACGCGTAAACCCCTCGGCCACGGTGAATTTATATATTAACGGCCTGAAGAAAACCATATTATTCTAAATTAGGGTTTGTAACGATGCTAACTGTTGTTTAACACAGATGTAAATAATCATGGAGCTTACTCATAATAAGCATGTATATCTATAAAGAATAAAACAATATTAGAAATCTTCGACCATTCGGGAATTATTTTGCTTGAAAATTAATGTGCCTGTTATTTGACTAACTTTACGCAGTGATCTCCCCTGAATTTTTCGGCGTTAGTGTACATATAAAGGGAAGTAACCGCTTCAAAAAAGCGGACTACTTTCGGCATTTGCAATTAACAGCATTAGAGTCTGAAATTTCGCTACCATTATTTGTTTGGTCTGACGACTTAAACAAATAAAAATACTCAATACAACACTTGTTGCATAGGCAAGACAAATGATAGATTTCCTACTCTGACCTTTAATTTGAATAACAATAGATTTAACCATAAACATTGACATGTGCTCTGTTGTTAACAAGTACCTTCTGGTGAAATTCTTACTGTAATCCACTTATCTGATAATATGAATTAGAAAAATTAAGGTCCTGTAGGGATATTTGCATTTCTCCCCCTGGCATTCTGAAGGGATTATTTTATCTGTCAGAACAGCTGATCCTGATTAGGTAGGGGTTAGACAACCTTGACATTGTGCTGAGTGGCCAGGCTAAATTTTGTTTAATGTTCAAAATCCCTTGAACTAATAAATGACAATTTCAGATTTAAAGCAGGGTCAAGGTTTTACTTTAAAATAGTCTGGTAATTGAAATTGAAAAAAACATTGATGAAAATTGATAAAAAATATACAAAATTAATGCTCAGGAATTTTTGTCATTCCTTATAATTTAAATTTATTTTTTATGGGAAAAAGAGTAATATGGTGCAAGCATTAAAGCACATGATCAGATTCAAAACCATTTAGTTAACAAAACCACAAAGTGAAAATGGCAATTGCTTTTAATAACTGCCTGTGCATACCAGATAAAATCTCCAAGGAAATGAAGTTAAAACATCTCTTATGTCTATTTTCTGCTTTGTCATTAAATATTCCATTAATTCAGTCATCATAATGTATTATTTATGTAGATTTTGCTTTGTGCATTGTCTGTGTAGATTTTATGGTGAAGAAATTTTGTCACTGGAAATATTTAACTGCAGTAAGTGAATACAACAAGAATTGTATACATCTTGAGTTTAAAGTAACTTTATATGCTTAAATTAATTGAGTCTGGCATATAAATATTGTGGTTTGAGGCACACTTTTTTCTACAGGTTATATTAGTGCATTTGTATGTAAGTAAATTATACTTAATTTGTTCATAGACTGCTGCTTTCATTTATGTGGTCAGGCCCAGTACTTTTGTGCATTTGATAAAAAGGCCAGACATATGTGTAAAAAGCTCATCAGAGCTTATGTTTATTGTTGATTTATCCAACTTATAAATAAAATTTATTTGACTTGACTTGAAATCAGTTATGGTATTGGATATGCAATAAAGACTGAGAAAAAAACACTCATCTCATTCTGAAAACGCATCACATTTAATTTATGAATTACCTCCCTTTTTATAAGTGTCATGTTTGAATTACCTCCCTTTATTTAGAACATCACATTAAATTTTTGAGTCGTCCCCCTTTAGTAAAGCATGATTATTAAATCAACGTATTGAATATCTAAATTATATCCATTTAGTAAACCGTAAGTCTTCGAAAGAAAGATTAGCTATGTTACTTTTATGTCAAGGTGACACCTGAGTATAACAAATATAATTTTTGCCTGTCAGTTTTGCCTTTGATGTGTCTATAATTAGAAACGTAATTGACATACCTTATTATTATAACAGTTCAAACGGATATTGATTAAAGGTGACATTTACAGCGCAATTTGTACAAGTTTTCATTTGATACCAGGAAATTATCTTCTTTATGACTTTCAAATTATATTCACATGAATTATGCAAATGTATGTAATTAACCTACAAAATATTAAGTTCCCGTTAGTAACGCATTTGACAGTAATTGTGTGTACATTGTTATAGCTATATCATTTATATGTTAAGTTATTGTTGTTGTTGTTTTTTAATCTAAAATTCCCTTAACTTCTCTTAAGGAATTTTATGACAATACATATCACTACATTTGTATTATTTAGATATTTTATTGTTGTTTGAATACAAAAATATAATTATATAGGTCTTTAAAACAACATAATATCCATTTGAACTTCAGATTTTTGTTGGTCTCGGCTATAGAATAATAACATGATGACAGGTATCTGCGGATTCCTCTCACCCAGGAATCGTGGGTTCGAGCCAAACTTGGATCATGTAGACACGAGTATGATGTGTCCAGGAAGTGGATTAATTAAAGATATCTGAGAATATGAGCTAAACTATTGATTCATGCGATTTTATAAGCAGAAAATATATACCCATATATTGATTTGCTTACTTTAATTAAACAACAACAACAAATCACGCAACACTCAAAAGGCAGCGATGAGATGTGAAGTTGCTGTGATCAGAGACATAGATACCCGCTGCCGTTCCTAGTATTTCATCTTTGGTCATTTTGGTTTTGTGGTGCATGGTTCCCATAGTATAATGACCTCTTCTTCAGCGACCAACATTTATATCATTGTGTTTACCTCTGTCAACTAATTAAACACGTTCATGTGTAAAATTAAGCAGTATTTAATCAGTACTGGACATCAGGGCTTGTTTACATTATTTGAAAGTGAATAACTTGTTATCGGGTCGAGTCACACTATAAATGAATGAATTACAGCCCCCCATATTTGCATAATGATAGTGCTGTATTTACAATTGACTACCCAGTTTGCGAATTGGAATACACTATAACTTTAAGTTTAATATGTAAATATGCATGTATGCCTAAGTATAAAAATGATGTAAATTTATATAAACCGAAACTACACTTCTGAATAATATATGAGAATAAAAACCAAGAACGGATTTTAGTTTACGTGTATTTATTTTCGGCCCAGACACGCAAAAAGAAGGTACGTTAAAGTGTTATCCAAATCTTTCGAGATTAAGCAGTATTCATGTACGAAGCGGATGGTAAAATGCATATAAATGAACGATTTATGATTTTAGGTACAGAGGAATTTTAACACGGTGATAAAACCAAGACAAATTTACTTGAAGGCATATACAATGTGATATTCTCTAATATATGAGCCACGTCACGACAAAACCAACATAGTGCGTTTGCGACCAGCATGGATCCAGACCAGCCTGCGCATCCGCGCAGTCTGATCAGGATCCATGCTGTTCGCTTACAACTCTTTTACAAGTAGAAAAACTGATATCGAACAGCATGGATCCTGATCAGACTGCGCGGATGCGCAGGCTGGTCTGGATCCATGCTGGTCGCAAACCCATTATGTTGGTTTTGTCATGACGCGGCTCATATAATCTCTAATTAGAAATTCAGCTCACGTACATAATAAAACCAAACAAGGATTTAAATTTTTACGTGTATATCCTCGAGAAATGTACATTACCCTGTTAGTTTAAAGTGATTAGAAGGATTTTAAAGGTATTACGCGTAGTGTTTAATATAAATAGGGAATTATTACCAATTAAATTCAACACTAAAATAATATTTTCTTTATTTCTATGAACGAATTTGTAATCCATAAATGGTGACACAGTATTTATTAATAACTTATTCACGGATATTAAAGAATTAAATAAATCGAAAATAAATATTTAAAAACACCACAAATATGCTAAAACGGCATATATTATTTAATTAGAGGAAACCCTTCGAAAAGTTTTGCTTACAATTAGAAATTCGGTAATAAGGAGTAATCAAATTGAGGACGGAAATGCTTATTAAAGAAGAGATACTATCTAACACCATGTAACACCTGGGGACATGATGATTATTGTAATTTTAATTAGTTTCATTTTCGGGTGGCGAAAAATTACCTTTAACAATACCGCGATAATTGGTAGTATCTCTTCAATGATAGCGCATGTATAAAACTTCACGACACAATATTCTCACATTATTTACAGAAAATACTGGCACGTTGAGTTATTTACGCACATGAGTGTTATTTTATTGTCGGGTTATTGTCAGATCTTTTATTAGATACGGTTATTAGATAGAAGCTCGTTTCAGGGGAAGCATGGATATTTTAGTGTGTAGGGCTTAAGTATGCTCAGAGAGATGATAGAAATATCATTATATTTACATTCGTGATTTGAGACTACCGTACCTATACGTGCATTAAGGACACTCGTACAATAAAACTATCTTACTGTAAAGAAGTGTAAGAGATCAAAAGAGGATTTTCAATTTGTATGAACATGAAATGTGAACTGGATAAAAACTGTGAATTAAAGAAAAAACACTTTTTGGATTTACTTCAGTGAATAAACATGATATTATGATGAAAGATAAATGTATATGAATTATAAAAATACATTAGACAGCATTAGTTTTATGTAGGTATGTATCGAATTTCGTCAACTTACAGCTTATGAGCTTAAGGCACGTGCTATTAAACTTTGTATTTATGTAGAGAAAAGAAAACAATACTAGTTAACGTTTTGTATTATAAGAAATCATCGATTGATGTATCGATTTGGTAAACATGTATTACTATTATAAATAGCTTTATTTATACATGTATGTGAAAATGTTTTTAATTCATCTTTTATTCAATTTCGCTGTAGATTTCTCTGCTATTTTATCTTAAGGCTGTGTTAAGGCATAGTTTGTTCATTATCCTATTAAGTACATACAACTCTAAATAAATTGTTTGTAGTGTTTTTATGATCTTTAACATATTGATCAGCCGTTGGTTAATGTATAATATCATAAAATGTCATTATATAGCTAACGTCTAACGATGTCTATGGTAAAATATGTAACGATCGATCTTAAAGTAGCTTGCACATGTCACATGTTACAAGAAATATTCCCGCTTTTATCCCTTCTTAATTGAGTAAAAAATAAAGCGCTTTTATAAGGGCACGAGGGCATATTTGTGTTGCAATATAATTCAGTTTCGGTGTCAGATGGTCGATTCCTGGAGTTTCTGGATGACAAATAATTCAACATCCATCGACTGACTGATGTAGCTAATATCGCGTGCGAAATTTACGGAAAAATAGAAATGTTCGCTGTAAATAGATAGGAAATGAATTGATCAGTGTTTGAACTAGGAATAGCGTGTCTGATTGTCGTAATTATAGGGTAGCTTTGTAATCCACTGATCAAATATAGGCCATTTATACATGTACCTCTGTTTATTTTGTAGAAAAATACATGTATATTGTTAGCTACATTATTTGAGTAACTTTGGAAGAATTCATAGTAAAACGCTTTCCAGTCTCGTGAAATATAGGCCTATGCCAATCGCAACTTTTTGACCCTTTCCGTCAATCTTAATAACTGGCGAGGTGTTCCGAATGTTGAAGTTATTTTTCACGTGCTATGGCTGGGTTTTGTAATTTTCGTTAAATGTCGCGCGTTTCCTGTATTCTCTTAACCTACTACATAAGATGATTCAGTAAAATAACAGCCATTTCAAAGCATGACAATAGCACAATACGATTTTCAAGATAGCTTCCTCTCCCAGTTATATATGAACACTTTAAAGTAAAAAAGAGAAACTAAAAGTCTGAAAAGGGAGCAAAATATGTGAAATGACACATTAAGGAAACAAAACTGCCGCAATAAATGATTAAACATTATGATGACAAAGTGCAAGGAAATTAATAAATTATGATATAATATAACATAATGTTATATAATAATAGCTGGTATTTTGTTTTTGCACGATTTTAAACCCATGACTCATTGTTACAGAGGAAAAGCAGGAATTTATCCAACACGACCTAGTACAGAGTTAATTGGTAATTTAGTGACAATTTACACGTTGTTACATTGTTGAAAAACAAGAAATGTCGGGGACTAAAATGTTTTATATCTTGTAGCAGACGACAGTTTTGTTAATGTGAACTGACCTAAATAAGGCTTAAATAGCCATATTTTTTTCTCTCTCGATTTTATTAGGTTTTAAATATGGGTATTAAATAATGCAATGACAGTATGTGTTTCTTAGCCTGCAATTATGCTTCATTAAACGATACAGTTTTCATTCACACCTCTCCTTTCTTTAACCAAATTGTACGTTAATTACCCTGTGATAAAAGGTCAACTGTCTAAAATAAAGGAACTTTTTTTAGCTATAAAATTAAATGATGGCAGAAGTGATGAAATTTAACTGTAGCATTAAAGCGGGCGTGGTAATCAAACTTTACTCAACTAAACATAATATTTTATATCACTGGTTATTGGTTTTTCTCTAGTTAAATTATTTATAATCATATATTATACATAAAAATTCTACCCTAAAATTCGTGTGAAAACAGATGGTTTCCATCAAAAGCTTGTAAAAGCCAATAAAACCGAGCATTCTGGAATTTCCGGAATAGATCGATACAAGGTTTTTCTTTGAAACCGTCGTTATTGATTGTATTTAGTCTAGACGTGACAATTGTTTCAGTTTACAAAATGTTTGATAATAACTTGTTGCACTAATGACAAAAAATAGGAGGAAAAACAACACACTAGTGTGATGAGAAGGCGTATGGTCTCTAATGATCAGAGATATTCGATATTGCATTCTCTCAATTTTTTCTAGCTCGCGTACCTCCCTTATGAGAAATATCGAAGAAAAATGTTGTTACATTTATTGTACATGTTATATTAACAAACTAGTAATGGGCAAATATTGAGCGCTGTAAATTACCAGGACGGACACATTTAACTGGTCCCAGACTTCCAGAAAGCTCGTAATTACATTTTCCATCGTCTTTCCGGTGATTTATACTGCTTTAAGGAAAAGTTGACCAGAAGAATCAACACTTTATAGAAGCAAATTAATGAAACGTGTGTGATATTAAAATAATGTAGCACATTGATAGGAAAACGTATGGTTACATGGATATGTATGTACACATATACATTGTTAAACCTAACCGGAAGTGTAAATGCTGTAAAGAGTTCGATTTTTTTCTCGGGAGTTTTTCAGATTAGTTGGTATGACATCTTGTTCATGTGATATGAAAAAAGATTAGATACCTTTACCTGATATAGGTATAACATTTAATCATTAAATGAAAGCAAGCCGGATGTAGTGTTCTAACAATAGAATTTGTGGACTTTTTAGCTCTCTGTTACTGTGTGTTAAAATGCCATGGTTGTTTATAATGAATCACAGTTACAATGATTACTGTAATCACCGGTGCACCAAGGATACAATTATTGATCTACATTTTATAATTGCAGAGTGTACGACGACTCATCGTCTGCAGCCAGGGAAATTTACGACATTCATTAACAAGTTGAAACGATGGGCGGCACCTTGTCATGCGGGGGTCAAGGTCACAGGCCAGTTGAAGACGACAAGTTGCCTTATGGTGCTCCTGTTTCAAAACCAATCGGAATTGTACAACCACAAGAGAAGTTAACCCCGACAGAGGAGTTTACAGGTAAATAAATTAAAATTATTTGAAACATAAATTGTCATCGCAGACGACAAATTCTTTCCGCATGATTAATAACTAAACTTCTAAAGGCTAAACATATTCTTTGTAGACGCCATTCGCATAAATCAGTGATTTGATAAAAAAAAATGTGTAAAAAATATATATTAAACTTTTTCAGACGTTAGACAGTACATGTATAGATGCCGTTGGTTTGAATTCTTATTTATTGAATAAATATTTGTATTAATGTATTATTTATCAATAATACAGTGAATAAAAATCTCATTAAGAATTCACCATAGACACTTTACTTGACATATTATTTAGTTACATAAAGTTACATAGTCTACCATTTAGCCCATATAGATAACAAAACGGCACTTTGTATATAGTATTTATTAACAGAATGCAACATTTTGTAAACACTGTGGCAAATTAGTTTCTGATTAGCAATATTGGAACAACCCTATATAATAATAAAACAAGGTTTAAAGTAGGCCGAATATCTTGGTCGGTATCTCGAGGTATAATCAGACGAACCTTTCAACATGTTCATAATGTTTTTATCAATTTGATTGATAGGTAGTCCATTGTGGCGGATTCATGTTCAAGGGCCTTGTAAACAGGGTTACCTCAATGAATATCTGCCTACAAGATAAAACCTCGTGTATTTTTATGATCTGTTACACCTGCTTTAGCACGTTCTTCTCGTGTTTATTAAAAGTTCTGATAATCATTATTTATTAAAAAATCTGGTTATATTTACCATTAAAATGCTGGTGATATCAGCTGGTTATATAAATATTTTAAGGACTCGTAATATTAATCAATAAAAACCTAGTGGTTACAATCATTAAATGGTTGCCAATCTTAATCATTAATCAAAGGGTGGCCTAGTGGTTAACGTGTCTGCCTTACAAACCAAGGATCATGCTTTCGAGCCATAATCGGGTCCATGTTTCTTCATATGACACCAGTACTGGTTGGACAAAGCATGCTAAATGTTCGGTTTATTCGCTTCAACATTTTGAATGTAAAAGATGGCTTTTCTTGAAGGGTTTTTTTTCTGTAATTATACATGTATGTTATGATATGTCAGAGAGGTCCATATTACCATAAAACAATTTGTTTTGTACTGATCATTGTTGATTTGATAAAGTCTCTACAATTCTGTGTTGGCCACGATTTAAACACGGATATAACCATTAAGTATAGCACTTAAAAAACTTGGAACATTTATTTTCGTAGATAAACACTTTTCCAAATCTTGACATTTTGTTTTAATGTGGGCGGAAATTATTTTTAACCCTCTGTCACAGATACTTGTGGTCCTTAAGTTTCGGTTTGTGGTTAAAGATTTAACTATGAATTACATCATATAAATACAAGATTTATAGATGCGTTAATATATGATTATGTAATAGCTTTACAAAAACAACTTTCGGAAGATTTATATACATAGAGGTAGATCTTTTTCGCTGAAAAGAAAACGAACTTTCGACGATTAAAACGATAAGTTTTATGTAAAATCAAATGAAAAGCTACATTTTTAGACGAGGTTAACCAGTTTGTTAATACTAGCTATTTTTTTCGTAATCTTTAATGATTGACAATGATAAAACTATAGATCTAAGGTAAAATAGCTCAAAACAAGTTTTAAAAAAATAATTCAGGAGTGGATTTTATGCACTAGTTCAACTTATGACATTCACCTTTCAACTCTTTAAATATTGTCATTATTTACCAATCAGTATATTGTCAGTATTGTTATACAAAGAATCACAAATCACCTGGGAATCTATTCGGACAGATCGATTGACCAGCTGTTTATTTATCGGGCCTGTTATCATACCTTTGTTCACCAAGTCCTCGTTAATTTATTCTCGTAGATACGGGTAATCACCGTGGCAGCTGACAGTCATTTCTTTGTGCCGCTTAGAACAAAGATTGTGCTTCTTAGAACAAAGAAAATATAATGTACTTAATACTTATTAACTATGTGCTATTTATAAAACAATGTCAATGAATATTTCAGTCAATGAGTCGCGGTAGTTTATATTTAGAACATAACATTATGTACAAAAATCCATATTCATAATTTTGACAAGCATTGCGTGTCAAGGCCAGATAATCATGTTGTGCAATCTACTAATCATGACATCTGCTTCTAATCGGGCGGTGTCTTGTTAACAATACAACATGCTCATTGCTAGAACTTGTATAAACTTATCTCAGATATGTATTTTCTTCTCTAAACAACCTGAACATCTGCAGTGAAAGTCAGAACTAATTAATTTGCAGTCTTACAAAATAGCACACGAAATCTAGCTGCATTATTTTGGTAGTAAACGAAGCGCGAACATTTTTTTCTTGTCGCATGTTTATTTTACAATCTTTTGGCGTTCAATATGATTTTTTTTATTTCAATATAACATTTATCAAATTTTAGAAGTAATCAGACGCTCACTAAAGCTGTCTCTAATGTACGGAAACTTTTATTATAAATTATATCATTAAACAGGCAATATATGTAGTACTAATATATGTTTGTTTATTAATTCAGATAAAAAGAACACATCATAAATTTATAAACAAACTTTTTTTATGTGCAATAAAACTGGTAGGAACACGTTTGAATCTGGTTGTCAGTGTTTTTTAACATTTGATTTATGGCTTCTGTAAAGAAATTATGTTTTGCTTGTTTAATACTATGTGATCAGAATACGTAATATGTTATTTTACAAAACCTAAATGCACAAAAGTTTACAAAATATCAACAAATTGCGTAAGCAGTGTTGCGCTTAAAGGCGTTTTAGTGTAAAATGATAATAACAATAAAAAAAATCTAGAAAAGATCTTCTTCACATCTTTGCTTCTAGAGAGATTTAATTTAATTCAAGCAGAACAAATATCACACTTTACTAGCATTGAAAAATAGATTTAACGTCAGTTGTAGATGGAAAACAAAATTTAATGGGTTATTAACAAGTTGAAATCAGAGTCTCGAATACATTCTGCAGTGTGATGGTTATTTCTAAGAGATATTTTGAATTTGGAGTTTCCGGTGTCTTTGCACGACCGCTGGTCCCTTAGACACAACACAAATACTGATATTTTTCCGTTATTGCGGTTGGAATTGTCACTTTTCTTGTAACCTGAAAAGAGCTGGGTAAAAGTATTTTAAAATTGAACAGAATTTTAGTGTGCAATTAAGTGGCCACTTCTCTCAACACACCTTGCTGACCATATCTACTCCTTAAGGGCCTTGCAAATATTTAAAAACCATCTTTACGTTAAATATTTATAAATTACTTCTTACCAGTTACACTATAACTTGTCAGCAATTTCGTATTAATCATGAGCCGTGTAATCGGCATTTAAACGTATTTCTATATCTTTAAATACAATCTTTTTAATAACATCGGATTCCATCCTAAAATCCTCTAAAACCATGGAGAAAATTGAAGTAAAAAAGATATGAAGAAGATCGAAGATTTAAGAGTACGATAAGACCATGCATGTACATTTGTACAGAGCTAGGGAGATAAGTTTCGGGTTAATCTGTCAAATATTGATAGCATAAAAGTTTTAAATGTATGTTAATAGTTTCGATCATTAAGATAGCGTAGTTGGATGTTTTTGTGGTTGGTCTGTAATAAAGCTGACCAAATATTAACGTTTTGTACTTCGGTGGAGACATATTTCCCTCAATATTTCCCTCAATATTTCAAAAATGTTAATCAGATTTCTTGATTTTAGACTTTGGACAAAATCTTTCTATCGTGTATACATTTCATAACAAAGAAGTTGAAGAACGTCTTGTCATGCTAAATGCGTCGCAACAAAAACATGGTGATTTTGTAAAATAACGCGATATAAAGGTTTTCCTTGACGACTTATTCTTCAAATGTTTTCCCTTGACTGACCCCCGATCCGCTTATTTAAAATCTTAATAACGGTAATAAAAGATATATTTGTGTATGTCACGCTAATTTCCTTGATAAATATGAGATGTCTTATCCCAACACGCCATTGAAGCTGAAATATTTAATCACTATATCGTACAAAGACAAGGTTTATTTTGTCAAATAAGGTCGACTAATATTGGGTACGACACGTAAATAGATTATTTAGTGCCAATCTAAAGTCACATGCCATCAGAACGAGTAAGAAACTTTAACACACAACACGATCAGAAGGTCTCCAAATGTTCTATGATTGGACAACACCGAGTTTGAAATTAAATGTTACAACAGTTTATAGTAAAATGAATCATTTTTAGGGTTAAATTCAAAATATGTACTGGCTGTATAGCGAACAGTGCCGACGATGCTCTGACGTCACGGATGTGCCAGCTGATCTTGGTCTGCACGGGTCACAAAGGCCAGAATCTGTTGCCGCCAGCAGGCGTATATAAGTAACAGCGGAGCAGATTTGTTATCTTGCTGGTACATTTATTTAATTTTGCCCTTAAGATATTTCTCGTGCACGCTATCCTGCAATAAAACGATACACAGTGTGCATTTGTTTTGGTTGAACTTATGACCTAATAAGCTCGCGATTTAAAAGATTTATAAATACGACTTAAAAAAATCCATGGTCAAAATCAAGAAGTACATACAGTAGACTTAAACAATTTGTATTTAAAAGAGAAGTTGTCGTGCTGTCGGAGTTCATGAAAATTAACTAATACTCGAAGAGACTTACGCCAAGTTTTACGGCTCGTTAACTGTCGAACCTCAGATGTGTGGGACGAAAGGTAACTTCGTACCAAAAAGCCGGTTCTTGTAGTCAAATATAATGATAATCTCTAAGACAGGCAATAAGACAATAAGACACTAGGCCATGGCACATCTGGGCAGATTACAACAACAAAAGTTTTTGTCTGTATTTCTTATTAATTACAAATACGCCCTTTCTGGCATTGAATAGTTTTCCTCTGTACTACAGAAAACAAACGAGAGTAAAGATAAACATTTCATGCACGTGCACTAAATTGCATTCCGAAATTCCTCATCACCGGCTGCAGTAATTCAATTCTGAGAAAATTCTGCTCATCTTTGTGTTTTTATACTTTACTCAGTTTACAAATGTACAGGGAAAGCTGCTGATAAAATACTTGTATAGTTATTATGGCCGACTATCTTTTAGCAGCATTATCTTATTTTCATGGAAATACCGTTTTTTGTTTTTGTTTTTGTTTAAAGGGGCTCCGCTGAGGGTTTTTGACATGACGGGGGTTAGAAATATTTTCCCGAGATTTGTTAACAATTTGATAATGTATGAACCAATAAATTGTATGCAAATTTTCAGATCATTCCCTCCAAATGTTTTACCAGAATATATCCCCCCCCCCCCAAAAAAAAAAAAAAATTAATAACATAAATGAAAAGCGTTGCAACACTTTTCACTCTAATCTGGATTAGAATCGTACAAATAATCGATATTCAATCTAATTATGAGTATATTTATTTTATTTATATTTATATTCTGCAAAGTTTTAAATTTAATTGCTTCGTTTGATCCATTGTAAGAATTTCAAAATTTATATGTTTAGGCTTTTTGACCTTAATAAGTTCTACTCTAGACATTACATGTGCCTCTCTCGTGCAGATATATAATCTGTAACTTATTAATCCAAACTCAGTGAGCTCAAAATAGTACGAAACTAGCAAAACGAAAACTTTTTATCTGTTTGATAAAATGTTAATCGATTACCAATCGATTTTACTTTAATTTTCAATTCAATCATTTCTCCCTTCATCATCAGTGTTTTTCATCCGATGATCTTATAGTTTATTGTCTTATCTTTCTCGGAAAAATTCTCACGGTTAATCGCGAGACAATGTTAACGATAATTACATACATTTTTGTGAGCAATCTGCCGGATCCACCTAAGTTGTTCCGTATAGTAATTAATATTAAGAGATCCTCTTGAAGTGTAATAACAGGTTTGGTTTATGGGAGGCAGAATATGCCTTATACCATCTCGCTGACGTACTCAGCGTTTTTATTACATAAATAATACTTTGATTTCATTACCACGAACTCCAAATATGCGATAGTTTTTCAAGTACATTTTACTAATTCACATATTCAAAGAATTCGGTCAAGGCTATAGAGGAATGCAAGCCAGCAAAAATAAATAAATAAATAAATAAATAAATAAATAAATAAATAAATAAATAAATAAATAAATAAATAAATAATAAATAAATGAATAATAAAAAGAAACATATGACGAAATGTATGTAAAAGTGGTCGCCCAAACTTTAAATATTTTATTTTGCCGCTGAGCGCATTAAAAAAATTGTGATATTAATATGTAAACATATTCAATAAAAATGCTAGAGAGATTTCCTTCAGTGTTCTTATGTGCCATAGATCTTATCTTATATCAGGAAACCAATTTTTATGATTTCTCAAGTACCAAGCAAACGCATTGTTTCTAAATTGCTTGAATATTTTATCTCGGATTATCTTGCTCTTTTTAAGCGATGACGTCATAACAACCGGAAGTGGTGTTTTAAAAAACTTGTAAGAATTCGTATGAGAATTATTATAGTAAAATAGAGGTACTTGTCATTAATGCGGTGTTTGGCATAACCTCGGACGGAAATAATTATCCCTAATTTTCTCCAGTACGGTTCGATAGCATCTGTTAGCTGATCAAATCGTGATCTAAATTGGAACCATCTACTTGCCTCTATTTCCGACAATAACAAACTTTCTACGTAACAATTGCCACGTTCTGATGCCACCGACGCACCTTCACTTCCGGCGCAACTATATTTAAAAGGTCTACTCGCGAATCGGGACTTTTCAGAAACTAATAGTCGTGTTTCTTGCATAGTTGAAAATAAATCTCATTAATAAAAACTTTGATCATTAATTGAAAGAAATTTAGGATAAACTGACTTTTATTACACAGTTTTGCATCTGGATTTTATTTGCACGGATTTAAGTCATACGGAACCCGTGCAAGATGTACGATTTCCATTCTTTGCCAAGAAAGCGCCATTACTCGATACGTTTGGATGTAATCCGTGAAAGCGTGTCTATGGCAGGTACCGACATTTTTTCACAGCTAATCAAGTATAATTCTGTATAACGGACGCGTTTCTATCACCTTCTGTTTGTATATGAGCAGATAATGGCCTAGGTTTGACGTTAAGCAAATGCATTTTCTTAATGAGCCGAACATATATTTTCTTCGGCAACATACCTGTCTGCTGTAAAAATGTTGCATGCATTGTTGTGGTCGGCTACGTTTGATGTATATGCACTGAAATATCACCTCTTTAATATGTCAATATGATGCTGTTGTTATAGCTCAAGCGATACTTACGGACGCACGATTATAAACATTACATTCATCTAAAAAAGATTCAAATAATAAATTTCGTCATTTAAGAACATTTCGTTCTTTTGTGAAATGATGATATGAAATAACAAATGTGATTTATTTACTTTTTTGTGACCAGTGTTGCGTGGTTTTATATTTTTAAGTTTGTTTAAATGATAAAGTATTATCATATTTTAAAGATTTGAGAGCAAATCATTTTTAGTTTCAAGAAATTTATGTGTAGAATCGATTTATTTAATATGTGATTGATTCAAAATGACATACTTTTGCTGATTCTTTAAATGAAAATATTGCATGTGTATATAATTATATAAGATTCAAAGTGATGGTACTTAAGTCTTACCGCCTTTTTTATTAGCGTACATTTGACTTACAACATTAAACGAAAGAAATTCATAAATTCGTAATTTTTCAATCATTTTATTCGATTATTTGTATGAAAAATAGGAGAACAACGTTACAAAATGAGATAAAAAAAACGCACACACAAAAACAACAAAACAAAATCGGAAAGAAAAAGCAAACTCAAAAGCAGAAACATTTCCTGAGCGATTGGGCACCCTAAACTCCTTATCCCCAACCCAAACGCATTTTTATGTTAGTACATTGTAAGACTTATTAAAGTTTCACAAATGTTCATTTAAAGTTTATTGGAGTTGATGTTTTCAAGGACGGTACTTAATATTAGCTTATCACAGACTTTCAAACAAGTTCAAGTGTTTGTTCAAATACTTCAGATACCAATAAATCAAGTTGTGTGTTGTAATATATGTTTATAGGCGGGGTAATGTTTGATAAAAATGTAGAATATTTCAGATAAAAATGTTACGGAAACTAATCTACAATCGTAACTTTCCGGTAATTTCCGTCATAATTTAGGTATAATGTGAATACTATGACCCATTGATAAAGTTAAATTAAAAATCGATAGGCACACAATCATGTTTGGAGATGATTTAAACAAACTCACATGTTAAAGCACAATAGGCATATGATTATTATGACATGTACATTTACATATATACAGCTAAAGAGTTGTCAACCTTTAATGTTGTTACAAGTCCCAGATTAAACTGAACAATTTCTCAAATCTACTTGCAGATATATCCAAACCAATTCCATTGATCATCAACTACAACAACAACAATAACAATGGCCTAAAGACAGTCAAGAAAGACTCGAACCAAGGTAATGGACGCTCTTGGAAGTTCTGGAAGTCGATGACCTTACGGAGCTCGAAGTCTGCCAAACCGATTAAGATGGATTCGTCTTTGCCAAACTTGGACGGACAGCTTCCGGATGTCGTGGAGAAAAGCGAGTTCACAAGAAGTTTGAGCTTAAGACCTCCACCTAAACCTCCACGAGCTTTTGTTCTTCGTGCCAACTCACTAAAGACACCAAAGCCATGTCCGCCTGTCACTGTTGACGGGAAACATGATTTGAATACGCAAGAAAACATCCCACCTGTCAAAAGTTTACAAGCAGACGAAAATACCATTCAGAATGCTAAAAACGGCGCGAAAGACTATGAAAATGTTGATTCAGAAGGAATCACTTTAAATTTGCCCGAGAAACCAAATATTGTGCCATTGACAATTTCTCAAAAATGTAGTTCCTTGCCAAATTACACACTTGGACCGAGTGTTACGCGTAGACAGCCGACAAAGTCCTCTGGCAAAATCAAAATCGTCTCGCCAGAGCTAACAAGAAAAGTGCCACCAAGGCCTCGCAAAAAGTCAGCCGAGATTACGGCTGGAGACAGACACATTCTTATACTTCAAAGTGCCGCTGAACTTATCTGTCAAAAGATTGACCCATTTGTTGTCATTGAAAAATTAGCAGACGCAGGATTGATGGACGAAAGTGATTTAAATGCCTACAGAAATCCGTACGAGAGTAGACAATTGTGTGACACCATTGTGCAATCAATTATGGATAGAGATTATGTCTCTTTCCTGAAATTTTGTGATATTTTACGAAGTGTGACGGACTATACAACTGTTGCTGCCGTTTTAGACGCCATGATTGCTGTTTATGACGTCATTTACGAAGTTCAGATAACTAACGGTGATACGTCACCAATTCTCGATGACGAGAAAACGGTTTCCTTCGACGTGGTGTACTTCAGTCTTGAAACTGGTAAAGTGCGATCAGTTGTCGAGCTGGAAAAACTTCGAAATTCTGAAAACAAACGCCATTCCCGAGATCTGTTGTCCTACAAACGAAATTCCCGTCTTTCATTCCAATCTTTTCAATCTCTTACAAGCGAAGCGTCGAGTGTATTTAGCGAAGATATAATTACCAACGGTCTTCCCATGGTAACGGTATCCATTTCAGGCCATGTTCTTTGTCTAGAAAAAGCTCGATCTCTTGCTACGGTCATTGAAGACCATTACTGCATTCTAGAATTCCACATTGGAAAAACTCATCTTCGTGGATCCGACATGGAACATATCAGCAGAGCTTTGGCTCAGAATTCGTGTATACGTGTTTTAGATCTGAGACTTAATAACATAGGAAACAGTGGGGCTGTGTACATGGCGAATGTTCTGTATCAAAATAGGACATTAAGACAGTTAAATCTGTCCTCAACAGGGATAGACAGTGAAGGATGCAAGCTTCTAGCAGATTCGTTAAGAACGAACACCAGTTTGATAGATCTTGATTTAAGTTTTCTTGACATAGGAGATAGTGGATGTATGGCTTTAAGCGGTATGTTGAAACAAAATCGCTGTTTGAAAAAACTGCGCCTCCGAAGCGGCAGTATAACTTGGATAGGATGTGGCTTCTTGTTAGAAGGAATTGAAATTGGAAGAACAGTTACTGAACTCGATTTGAGCAGAAATTTCATAGATGATACTGGAGCGGAAATGTTTCTACGCCATTTGAAGGACGATTCTTGTCTAAGGGAGGTAAATCTCGAAAACTGCGGAATAACCTCGGCAGGGTGCTCTATCCTTTCTGATGTGATCCTTACAAATAAGTCGCTCCGGAACCTAGATTTGAGCGTGAATTTCATCGGGGACCAAGGAATTTTAAAGCTTTCCAATGCTCTGGATAGAAATAAACATATCAAAACTTTAGGACTTAACATGTGCGGCATATCAAACGATGGATTCTCAAAATTGTTAGATATTTTAGAAGGGAACGCTACTTTAACCATGCTTAAACTCTGTTATAACAGATTAGGACGGGAACACTCGAACCCGGAAGCTACGTCAGATAACCTGAAATACAGGGTTAGAATTGTGACGTCATCAAATCCAAAACTGAAACTTTTATTATGGGGAAACACATTTGAAGAATCAAATACTAATGCTATGTCACAATTCAAAGATTTGAACGCTACGTTATAACAGTACGTTGTAAAGCTACTTTGTGTATCGCTACGTCGTAACGCTACTAATTAACGTTGCTTATACAACGTCGCTAAAATAACGCTCTTCGGCAGCTGTCATTGTTCTACAGCTTCAGTTTTCAGTTAAACATGCATGGTTGAATCTGATTTTGAAAATATGCAACATTTAATGTTATAAAAAGTACTTTGAATACTAATTATGCTGGAAGAAAAATGTGGTGAATATGTGCATTAACATTTGCTTTGATCCTATAATGTATATTTTCTCTCTTACCTAAATTATCAGTAAATGGGGAGACACAGTTAGCCTGGCACAATAAATTAATGAATACGTGGTTTTAATAAATTAATGAATACGTGATTTTACTAAAAATCTTATCTTTTTAAGTATAATATACATGTATCATGATTTTCATAATGAATTTGTCAATTAATGTATCTATAAAAACTGTACGAAATCTAAAATGAGATTAACTTGCTCCTACTTTACAAGAACATACATAAATACAGTTACTTCCAAAATTTATATCCTGTATTAAAACAGTTTCTATGAAAGAGAAATAGAAAAAAGAAACACAAATGAAGTTGAAACAAATATTATAAGAGCTTTATCTTGATGCTCAACATCTGCTGATATTCGAATATTGTATTGAATGCTTTGCCTTTTATCAAACACTAATTCGGCTGATTGTTTGTGCTATAAATTAACCATTAACCTCCTGAATTTGTATAATAGATTTGCCCTGCTTTGGATTTGGAGCAGTCCATTCTAAAATTAAGGGATTCTGGTTCCAGCACTGAGAGGGCTAATCTTTTACTGGACATTTGTAAATGAACTCGTCCTGCTTTTAGCATGGAACTGTCCATTGTTTATTATGGGGGATTTTAATTCTAGGAAGCCCTGTCAGACTGCACGTGGTCTCCCTGTACATTCATGGAATATTCCAGTCATTATCAAAGAGTTCATACTTGATTCTTATACTTACATTAATACTTATAATTCTAATTATACAAAGTTTTTAGCCGGATTTTGAATCTTGGTCAAAAGAGACTTTATCTAGAGATATCTGTTTGTGTATGTTTGATATCATTTGAAATTTGTTTTATTTATTTATAGTTGCGTTTTATTCCATGTAATATGTTTTTTTGTATGACATTGTTTATAAAACAATAAATGTTCAAAAAAAGATGAATAAACAGTTTATACATGAGTCATTATTTATTTTGTTCTTTCATCAACACAATTTTTAAGTTTTAAGCATTTTTTACCTATAGGAAAAACCTGTTTTGTTGAAAGACTAGTATTTACAAGACTGAAGTGCTTACGTGGCTGCCTGGTTTATGTCCTTGACATTCATGCTCACCGTTGTTAATTCGAAATACAATCAGGACATTGATATTTCGTGTGAAGAAGATTTAACCCTTAATTTCTAAAATGTACTTGCCCAGTCTTCATTTATCTAATTGCTCGATATCTATTTTATGGATATCATGATCACAAATTATAAAGTTATTGAGCTATAAGTATAGAACTTTTGCATACAGCTTACTAAAGTGATGGCTTTCGCTTTGATTAATGCACGAGGTGCACGGATACTTATAGCAGTTTAAAAATGGACGCGAGCCATATGCCATTTACCTTCCAACCGAACCAAATATATAGCTGTACTCGGTCTGCATAATTATAGAAGACATAATACAGAAATAAGAAGAGGCAAAATAACTCATACTTTTTAAAAAAAAAATCTTAATAATCTGATAAGAAAATGTTATGAGGCAGAGTATTTATTCATGAAGAAACAACAAATGATTCCGGCATGAACGTACTTTTAATATCAAGAACACAAATATTTGTTTTTCTTGTCACAATCATATACATATCATTTTAAATCGATTTGTCAATTCTAAATATGCAAGGGAAGTAAGCACGAGTAAAATGCTTACACAGTTTGTAAGAGTAATTCATGTATATCATAGATAATGTATGGGGATCCGGAATGGGAAAAGAGTTTCACAGGAGTACAAGCGTAAGATCGCAAACCCTATCCTTTTAATCGTTGGATACGTTGGCAACATGGCAGCCTTTCAGTGTGAATATGGCAGCCTCGCAACCTAAAGTTAGTGACATAAATTATACCAGACATATGGAAACGGCCAGAAACGTATTTATCCACTATGATAACTTTCTAAATACATAGTTTAAACAATATTTTATTTATAAGTATTACATTTACTAATAATTGACAAATAATAAATAGTACGGATTGAGTAGTAAGCTTGAAAGCTTTTTTAAAAACTCTTTCCGTAATCACTATCTCAAACAGTATGTAAAATGGTACCAATTATATGCATTTTTGAGTTAAATATACATAACATTTTCACTATAAACTTGCTTCTTTACATGTACAGGAAAGTTAGCAATTTACACTAAATACATTACAAGCAATTTGATATGAAACATATCGTTCTCTTTAGGTTTGCTGAAAAAAGCAGTCTACCCTGAAAATGAGAAACATAATTATTCCAACAGGGGTAACATTGTCGCAATATACGCCCGTCAAAGAAGCTTTTGACAGAGATGTGAGCATTATAGATATGCATATAGGAGATATGCTGTGGGCAATATCTGGAAAATATCTGGATATATTATCATCTCTAGTGATATTTTCATCTGAACTTTGACCCCTATGTGTGACCTTGACCTTAGCCGCAGGGACCTAAATTTTGCACTTTACAGACACTCCGCCTCACAAAAGTGAACATTTGTGCCAAGTTTATTGAAATCACTGTATGCATGTATATAGAAGTTTTGCTCCGGACAAGCGTTTTTTAATGACCTCTAATTGTGACCTTCACCTTTCACCTAGAGACCAGCTGCTGGTTCATGCACGGGACACGGCTTCATATAGTGGTGACCATTTGCATGAAGTTTCATTAAAATTTCTCAATGGGTGTAGGAGATATGCTCCGAAAAAAATTTGGACGCCGCCCGCCCAGTCGAACGCTTTTTCAAACGGGCGTATAAAAAGCAGTGCAAGTAATATTACACTTAGTTTTTTTTTTTGCTAATTTTATGTCACATTTGGAGCTTAATGAAGTTATAACTACAAGTTGTGAGTGAAATTATGGACTAGTTCTATGTTCGTGAAGTTGGCAGCCTAGCAGCCTAACAGCCCAGTAGCCTGAAGTTGGCAGCCTAGCAGCCTGGCAGCCTAGCAGCCTGGCAGCCTAGCAGCCTAAAGAAAACTAAGAATAGTACTTACAAACATGAAATCGTCGGATATGAATCGGAAGCAAATACTTAGACCATTGCACGTCTTTTTTCAGTATCGCGAACTTTATTTTTTTAAATATTGAACTTGAAAACCGTCGGAAATAGTCAGAATGAAAAATAAAATAAAATTCAATATTTAAAAAAATAAAGATCGCTATACTGAAATAAAACGTGGAATGGTCTAAGTATGTGCTACCGACTCATTTTGTTTGTATTATCCTTAGTTTTCTTTAGGCTGCAAGGCTGCTAGGCTGCCAGGCTGCTAGGCTGCTAACTTCACAAATTTCGAAGAGTAAAAAAACGAAGTTCAATATTAAAAAAAAAATAAAGTTCGCGATACTGAAAAAAGACGTAGAATAGTCTAAGAATGTGCTACCGACTCATTTCCGACGGTTTACATGTTTGTATTGTCCTTAGTTTTCTTTAGGCTGCTAGGCTGCTAGGCTGCTAACTTCACAAATTTCGAAGTGTCAAAAAAACAACCAAAAAAAAAACAAACAAAGTTCAATAATTAAAAAAAACAGTTCGCGATACTGAAAAAAGACGTGGAATAGTCTAAGTATGTGCTACCGACTCATTTCCGACGGTTCACATGTTTGTATTTTCCTTAGTTTTCTTTAGGCTGCTAGGCTGCTGGGCTGCTAACTTCACAAATTTCGAAGCGTCAAAAAAAAAAAAAAAAAAAAAAAGTTCAATATTTAAAAAAATAAAGATCGCGATACTGAAATAAGACGTGCAATGGTCTAAGTATGACGATTTCATGTTTGTACTATTCTTAGTTTTCTTTAGGCTGCTAGGCTGCCAGGCTGTTAGGCTGCCAGGCTGCCAACTTCAGGCTGCTGGGCTGCTAGGCTGTTAGGCTGCCAACTTCACGAACATACTAGTTCTTGGTATTTGCTTTTAGAATTTTTATTAACATTTTTCTCAGAAATGCTATCATTTTTATTTCACAATAACGTTCTATTCTAGGTACCTGTATCTTGTTACAGTTTCTATGGAAAAACTCATTTACAACATAGATGACCTATTTTTCACTACTTTTGTTTTGTCGATATAAACATAGTGAAAGAGTACTTTGTATGGAAATCAAAACCCTTCTTTGATTACATTTTGCTACCTTTACGACATCTTATTTCACATTCAGCTCAAAGTTTTTTTCTTTTGTTTTTTTTTTCCAGTGGATTAACATGTAATATGCTCTAAATCCATTATTGGAACATTTTCAAACAAATGTTTGACATTTCTAAAGAATTTCTGAAGCATTATGTAACTTTGACATACGACTTGTTTTCACTCCGTTGATGTATTAAAGTAAAATTGAAAATTGACACAGTGTATGACTAGACTGTCTGATCTGGCCCATTTCTAAACATTGTCGAACAATATGTTACGAAATGAATAGGTCACATTATACCTTCATGAAAAATTAATTATTTTAAGTATTATTTGGATGACAATCATGTTATGTTATGTTAGATTTATAAGATTTACCTATAAAAGTTTGAAAAAAACATTGTACTAAAATTCGACTCCAGGGCGTTTCAGATCATGACCTACGGTGCTTTTGCACTCGGACGTACAGAAGTTTTAAGTTTCGAAAGTGAAAGCATCTAGTACTGGTAAACTGCTTAACAGCCTACCCAGGAACGGTGCGGTGGTTGAACTGTACTCTGGTAAAATCAATGTGGCTTACTGCCGTGATCTGCAGGGAATCCATCCACCACAACCACCACCACCAACGTACAAACAAGGTGCGCGTTTGGGCACCGAACGGGGAACAATAGAAACTTAAGTTTTATTCAAGACTTAGTTTTTTACAGTATTATTTAATTGCCGTCAATAAGAATCTGCATTATTAGAAGTTACTGGCGGGATATACGGGAGAATATAGCCTGACTGAAAAAAACGTTAGTCTCGGCCTTTATTTATCTCAATCAGGCTATATTATCCCGTATATCCCGTCAGCAACTTCTATAACTGGTTTATGCAGGAAACAGTTAACAGTCCTACTGAAAACAGCAGCATCTATGATAAAATATTTTGTTACGGAGCAATGCAATTTATTCTGTTTACCTACAATATTCATGTGTGTTGAATAACAAAAACAATTTAGGTTCATTCTCTCCTTACGATTATTGCAACAAAAAAAGTTTATCGTTTAAACGTGTATAATTATAAAAAACAACAATTATTTGATACAGCTGTAAACCCTTTTTATAAGCATTTTTACCGATTAGAACTAAACGTGAATGTTTTATCAAGAGTTACGAGCAGTTTTAGATTAATTTTTGTCACATAGAAATATTAATATAATACTAGTACATGTATACGGTACCGATTTGAGTTCAGACCGCATTCCAAAAGCACATGACTTTATATGACGTTTAGGAAAAAAGGAAATATTTTCATTAAATTAACCTTTGACTCTCTCGTGTTGTTTCGATTATTGATTGACCTTAATATGTTATATATTACGAAAAGCTTCGATCGGATTCAATCGGATAAATAATCAATCAATAATTATTATAACTTGAAAACCTACATTGTACTGTAAATATTCTCACTGGATATAAGGCATTGGGTTAAACTGGCCTCGTCTAAAAATCGCGACAGCTTGTCTTTAAAGGCCCATTATGCCTCAGAAATCAAAAACTTTAAATTTTTGTTATCTTAATATTCTAATAGACTTTTGTAAATCATTACTTTAACAAAATTTTGTGAACAATTACTTTAGCAAAATTTTGTTGACCATTCTTTTACTGTCTTTTGTAAACCATTACTTCAACAGTTTTTGGAAACCATTACTTTAACAGTCTTTTGTAAACAATTATTTAAACAGTATTTAATAAACCATTACTTAAACAGTCTTTTGTAAGCCATTACTTTTACAGTCTTTTGAAAATCATTACTTTAACAGTCTTTTGAATAACAAATACTTTAACATTCTTTTGTTAACCATTACTTAAACAGTCTTTTGAAAACCAATACTTTAACAGTTTTTTGAAAACCATTACTTTATTGTCTTTTGTAAACCATTACGTCAACAATTTTTTGTAAACCAATTTTTTTTATAGTTTTTTGTAAACAATTACTTTAACAGTCTTTTGGAAACCATTACTTTAACAGTATTTTGTAAACCATTACTAAAACAGTCTTTCGTAAACCATTACTTTAACAGGTTTTTTTGAAAACCATTACTTTATTGTCTTTTGAAAACCATTATTTTAACAATCTTTTGTAAACCATAACTTTGACAGTCTTTGCAAACCATTATTTTAACAATCTTTTGTAAACCATTACTTCAACAGTCTTTTGTAAACCATAACTATAGCAGTCTTTTGTAAACCATTATTTGACAGTCTTTGTTAACCATTATTTCAACAATCTTAAAATTGTAAACCATTACTTTGATTGCCTTTGTATTTCATTACTTCAACAAATCTTTTGTAAACCATTACTTTGACTGTCTTTGTAAAACATTACTTTGACAGTCTTTGTAAACCATTACTTCAACAGTCTTTTGTAGACCATTACTTCAACAGTCTTTTGTAAACCATAACTATAGCAGTCTTTTGTAAACCATTATTTGACAGTCTTTGTTAACCATTATTTCAACAATCTTAAAATTGTAAACCATTACTTTGATTGCCTTTGTATTTCATTACTTCAACAAATCTTTTGTAAACCATTACTTTGACTATCTTTGTAAAACATTACTTTGACAGTCTTTGTAAACCATTACTTCAACAGTCTTTTGTAGACCATTACTTCAACAGCCTTTTGTAAACCATTACGTCAACAGTCTTTTGAAAACCATTTCTTTGACAGTATTTGTAAACCATTACGTCAACAGTCTTTTGCAAACCATTTCTTTGACAGTCTGTTGTAAATCATTACTTCAACAATCGTTTTTAAACCATTACTTCAACAATATTTTATAAACCATTTCTTCACAGTCTTTTATAAACCACTATTTGACAGTCTTTTGTAAATCATTACTTAAATAGTCTTTTGTTAACCAATTCTCTAAAGCTGCGCGCCTTCAGATGAGCCAAAATATTTCATGAAAATCAACATTGAGAAAAAATGTACACAGACTCTAAAAAAAGTGAAAATAATTATTACCAAAGAAAAACAAATACACGTTATAAGCGATTACTGACTTTGTAGTATTTGTCACTATATTTCTGGACTTGACCAAAGCAGCAAGGTCATTTTTTGCATATTCTGGCCTACTTTTGGTAATAATCGCAGATTTCAAGTGCTGTTTGCAATGTGTAAATTATTTTCTTTGGTCACTTGACAACATTTTACTTTTTGATACATTTTAATTTTTTTTTAAAATTTAGCATGAATCTGGAGACATGCTGCTTTAAGGAGCCAGTTCTTGTTGTTGTTGTTGTTGTTGTTGTTGATGATGATGATGATGAATAGGAAATCACTGCTCTTGCACTGTTCGACAAAACTTAAAATGTCCAGCGCCATCACGGAGGAGTGAAGCTACGCCAAACATGATTCGTTAGGATACATTAAACAGAAACAGTAAGTAAGTGCAAAATTAAATTCCTTTAACATTGGGTAAATCGTATATCGTAGGGGACATTTTGTTTCGTATATTCGGTATTTTTTTTTTAAAAACAAAACGATGTTTTTGCTTAGATGCCCACTTGTCCCAGTCAAAATATAAAAAAAATGCAAAAAAAAAAAAAAGACAACAAAGTCAAATTAATATTTAATTTTAAAATGCACATCAAACATCTAAATTCAGTCCTACGTTACATTAATTTTAATTTCTTCCATTCATTTTTCCAATAATTGATCTTCGATCGGGGTAACCGACAATAAGCACAATACAAATTGACCGATAGTTTGCACATTTTGATTCCGTTTGTTATGGGATTTGTTTTGGACAACGAGAAGTTTCAATAGTGGGATTAAATTTAATAATCCATAGGGAATTACTCTACATGTATTAAACTAAGCAAATGCTAATATATTAAAGTTTAAGTCCATTAGTACCGGTGTAACACTTGTCGCAAAATGACGGCCGTACACCCAGGTGAGTGATTTTCTAGTAGATCTTTCATTCATCAAATAAATATATTAAATTTAATTAAATTTAATGATAAAAAGATAGATTATTATGCTGAGTACATTTGCAAAAAAAAAAAGTTTTAAATAATCTATGGTGACTGGTATATATTTTGTCTTAATTTATTTCTTTTTTATTTATTTATTTTATTTTTTTTTTTGTATTATTTTTGTACTTGCTTATATCGTCTATTTTCGAAAATGAGTTCAGGTAAAATGTGTTTGAAAAATTGACGCACCTATTCTTGTCGTGCTATACGTATTAGTATACCTCAATAATCACGCAAATATTATAAGAAATGCAATTACCGTTTCTCACACCTTTTGTTAAAATAATTAATAAAAATTAAACATAAATAAATAAACAAATAAATAGAGGATCTATTTCAAGTTCTTTCTATAAATAATTGACTTATTTTCATAGAGTGGTATAAAAATAATTGTTTCATGAGTGGCGGTAGCCGCGAGGGAAATATGATAATTTTCATGCCACAAGATGAAAATAAATCATGTATTTATAGAAAAAAAAAACTTGAATGTTCAGTTTATCATATACATTTGTCTCTTTTTGACATTTTTTGAAAGATTTTCCCTTACATTTTGTATACTGGCAGAATCTATAATAGTTCTGACTTCCAAAACTTTATAAGCCGCTTTTTAACATTTTTGTTTTTCATCAGATGCGGCACGTCATGTCATATATATAAACGGGTACGCTGAAGACCTTAAGCTAAATCTATAAGAAAATACAGAAAAATATGTTTTACTGCAGTGAAAAATAAATTTTTACAGTGAAAATACAGAAAATGAAAGTACGCATTTTATTTCATCAATATTTCTCAATATTTTCATTCATAAGTATATAATAAACGTGTTTAGTAATAACCACTTTTAGTTCACATTGCTTCAATTAAGTTCGTCCGCTTAAAATGAAATTATTATTATTATTATTATTATTATTTTGGTTTTCACTCTGCTGTAAATTTGTTTATTTCTTTAAAAAAATAAATGAAACACACGGAAAAAAAACTTTCACGTTTCACGAGCGTTATCTTCAATTTAAGGAAAATATTTTCGGAAGTTCCCTTTTAAAATTCTTTTTAATGTTTTTGTGGGGAAGGGGGTAGGTATTGGTAAAGACCATGAAACCCGTTCGAAGGCCCGCGAAACTAAGAGCGTAAAAATTGTGGCTTCTATAAAAAAATCGTAATATTGTCACTTTTACTTTTTGTTTTCCTTTTTTTTTATACTAAAACTGTCAAAGCATCAGCACAAAAGTATTGACTTGGGTTGGACTAACTCGAATAAAATATTTCTATATTTCAAACCTCAATTGATCACGTGTTAGTATTATTTATTTATTTCATTTTATTAGATTATTAATGAAATATCATCTCAAATCGAACGAAACCGGAGCTCGCAAATCAAATACAGTAATCATATAATGTTGTAATCAAGTTGCGCAAATATTTAGTAAAAAGGCTATAACATGTTGTGATTATACAATAACTACGTCGAATATTTAACTATATTATTTCAAATTTTGGCTTATAACACTTTGAAACACAAATCAATTGTCTATTTTTCTGACTCTCTCTAGTTATGACTTTAAACACCATATTGACGTTATAAAACATATACATGTATAGAAGATAACGAAAGATTCACATGAATACATATAGCTATAAACATTTTCATAGATTTAATATAATGTGTAAATATTACGTTAACACCGCCTAGTAACTCATTTAAAATCCAATCAATCGAAATTGTAGCAAAACTAAACAAGTTTGCTTCTTTAAAAAGAAGCATGCGAGAGGTCTTTTTGCTGCTGTGGAAGATTTGTTTAATTTGTAAATATTTGGAAATAAGACACAACGAATGGTTATAAATTACAATAATTTAACAAAATATAATTTATTATATAAATTGAATATATAGTAGCATAATGAAAGTTTGTTTACACTTCATTTTTTAATGTTTTGATTATATGCTGGAGAAATGGATTTTTTTCCTTGACGCATTAGGGATACTTTTAATACAAAGGGAACTAAATTTAAAATAAATGATATGTATATTAAAAGTAGTATCAAAATAAAAGTTTCTTGTAAAATTCAATCAGCAAATTTTCGGTTTATGTTTTGGTAAGTATATGAAACATTTCCTCTACGTTTTCCAAAACGGGCATAAAGTATGTTAATCAGATACATTTAAGTCCAGGATTTACATAAAAATGTTTTATATCATTTGATTGGAATAAACAGAATATAAAGCTGCATGCCTCCAACCACAATATTTTAAGAAAATCAAACGTGTGTCAAATTTGTGCCACTTGCGCCAAAAAATCCCCGTTGCGTTACATAGTCATACCAGTTCAAAAAGAACTTTGTACAAGCGGTACACGGTTCACTCGGTCGTATAATAGTGCATGGTGTTAATGTAGCTATAATGTTCACTGCTACTATTTATCGTTACTGTTACTATTTATCGGAACAAGAAAATAGTAAAAAGCTATTAAGAAAACAATACTGTAATCGATTTATACAGTTTTAAAAGATTAAAAACGGAATGAAACATCCACAACGTAAAATAATATTTTCCGATTTTTCTTTGTACCGATCGATTCGTTCCCTTCAATGTTCCGTAACGTACCGGAAAAACGGTGTTTAAGCTAGGTTTCGAAAATGGTCAATTTTTCGTTTAAGTTAAGTCGTATTTTTGAAACGGAGCATGCGCAAAACAAATTTTTGTAGACTGCTCCTAATGGGTTTTAAGCTGTAAAATGACATTCATTTTACTAAAAATCAGATCGCAAAAAAGGAGCCGCCAGCCAAAACAGTCTGAACCAAGGGGGAGGGCTGTTTACCTCTCCAATTTTTAAACGGGTTTTCCGGGAAAAGTGCTGGATAATTTTCTGTCTTTTTTTAAAATTTTCACTTTAAAAAATTTTTATATTTAAAACTTTTTTTTTGTCCAATTCAATTTTTAAAATCAAAACCAAAGTTCCTTTTACTATTTCTTTTAAATTTGTCCCATTTGAACATTTTAAAGGGGGGTTTTTTTTTAAACAAATTTTATAAAGTTGGGGGCTTTAAATCCCCTCGTAAAATTTAAATTTGACGCTTTTTTTTTTCCTTTTTTTTAATGGGGTGCGCCCCAGCCGTAAAAAAATCCCTTTAAAGGAATTTTAAAGATTTTTCCCCATTTTTTTTTTTTTTTAAATAAACACTTGAAAAAAAGAAATTGAATGAAAACCCGCTGTATAGGTTTAAACCAAAAATTCCCCTTTTTATGATCTAAACGGGAAGTTATTTTTAAAAAAGTCTTAACTTAACACTTTTTAAAGGGACTCCACTGAGAGTAAAAGACCTAAAACCAACAAATTTTTAGATTTCTTACATATATCAACTGGGGAACTTAAAACAGAACAAATATGCAATATACTTAGCTATTCTTAAACAGTTTTGAGCGAAAAGCATTGCGCAACGCTTTCCAATGACCTAAAAAAGCGGAGAAAGCAAGTGATTACAAATTGTTGGTTTATATCTACATTAAATTAATCTCGAAAATTAATCATGTCATGCCAAAAAACTCAGTGAAGTCCCTTTAAAAGTTTTCGTCTATTTCTAAATTTAAAAACATCTGTATAGAAAGACTACTTACTGGGGCTTCCCAAAATTTTTTAAAATTGAAATTAAAAAACTATATGTTTTTAATTTTTTAAAACATGCTTGACCCGGGGGGAAAACAAACTTTGCATTTGGGGAAAATATTTAATTTTAAATTCTTTGTAATATTTTTTCATTCCCTTTTTTAATTTAAAATTTTTAATTTCCCTTTTTTTAAAAATTATTTCAGTTTTTTTTTGGTTTTTTTTTTTTTTCCCCCTTTTTTTTTATGCGGACTTTTCATTTTTAAAAGTAACCATCCCCTTTTTTAAATTTTTCAAATAACGTAATTTGTCCCCTTTAAAAAAAATTTTTAAAACGCAAAATTATTTTCAATGCATTTTTTTTTCCCCAAAGTAAAAATACGAGTTTTTTGGGTTTTCCGGGAAAATTAAAGCAAAAGTTTGTAAAATTTTATTAATAAAACATTGTCTAGTTTTAAAATTTTTATTTCTTTAAAGTGCAATAGAGGCAAACCACAGTCAATATAAATTATAAAATTTAGTTTAATCATATTTTATTGCTTTTACATTTTATACAAAAACAGATACATTGTCACATGTAAACATACTACAAAACAGTAACGAATACATTTACAGTTAATACATGGATGTTATAGTTATTATAAAAAAGCAAAAGGGTCAATTACTGTAGTGGTAATCGATTCATTAATGTATCAATGTATGAATATCGATCTATTAGCACTTAATAAAAATTTAATATTTCAATTTATATTCATTTGATCTTTTTACCGTAGAATGGCGTCCCGGAATGGACCCAAGACCACAAGGTGGTCCTCCACCAGGATTCCAGATGAGCGAAAATCCTCCCCCGATGAACTCGGACCCAGCCTACCCGCCAATGCCGGGCTATGAGGGCGTTGGTTTTGGACAAGCAAGTAAGTTGCTATAAAGTATAAAAAATTTTATTTTCCCATCCCTTTAAAATTTAACCAAATTTAATGACTTTTTAGCGTTTTCCCCCTCGTTTTAAAGTTCAAAAATTTAATAAAAAAACCTTATTTGGAATTTCATTTTTTTAATTTTTGGGCCTTTGTTTTTATTTCCCGAGTTCAAAAAGGGGTTTTTACCAAATCCAAAATCGCACCCCAATTTTGCACCGGGTTTTCCCTTCAAGAGTCCCCAAAAAAGTTTTTATTTTTAAATCCCCAAAGGCACCCCATTTGCCTCGTTTTAATTTTGGGTTTCCCAAAATCTTTATCACATGCAAATATACTCCAAACTAAACTTTTTTTTCATTTTTTTGAGGGGTTCAAAAATTTGATTAAAACAAAACCTTTTTTTTAACTTAAGTTTAAAAAATTTCCCGTTTTAAAATGTCAAAAACGGTGGTAAGAAATAATAACCACATTGTTCCTTATTCATAACTTAAAAAACGTATATCTTACAAATTTAACGTAAAAATTATGTTTGCCTTACTTATCAATTTTTCAAATTCGGAGTATTTGAGAAAACAAATACGTTTTTTATTTACTAATGGTAATTTAGTTTCAATTGGGTTTCATCAGGAACGGAACAGAAAAGCTTAATAAGATAGCCATTGTATTTTATATACATGTGTTTTATTTTTCAGGACCAATGCCTCCACCACCAATGCCACCACCCCAGGGCGACCCACCACCGCAAACGTTTACGGAGTAAGTTACTCTTTATGGTTGTGTACCAATATTTGCATAAGTACTGAATACTAGCATCTTTTTATTATGATTTTATTATTATTATTATTATGATTATTATTATTATTATTAATTATTTTATTAACTTATTAATTTATTAATTTATTATTTTATTATTATTATTATTATTATTATTATTATTATTATTATTATTATTATATTATTATTATTATTATTATTATTATCATCATCATTTTTATTATTATAATTATTATTTATTTTATTATTTTTATAATTTTATTATTTCATTATTTTTATTTTTATTATTATTTGCAGTCTGGCAAAGTTAGATGAAGAGGCGTGTCGTTCGGCCATGATTCAACACGTGTCGGAACATTGTTGCTATGGAAGCAAGCCCGCAAAAGAAATGAGTATTATGCAATTTGAGGGCATCACTGCTTTACATGTAAGCAACAAAAGACTATACTAGATATATTAAAAAGGCCCCCTTATTTCCTCAGAAATGCTTACTTAACTTTTTTTTTTATCAAAAAACTTGTTTAATTTTGGTGTTTTGTTACGTTTTCCAAAAAAATATACTAATTTGATACCCTTTAAAACTTTTTGCCTCTTTTTGGGAAATTTTTTTAAAAGAAAATTTTTTTTACAAATTTTGGGTAAAATTTTACAACACATTACCAATTTTTCGGGGTCCCTTTTTTTCAAATGGTTTTTAAAAATGGGAAATTTTTTAAACATTATGAAAAAACTTGTTTGACAATTTTTAAAGAATTAAAAAAATATTTGGGTTTCTGCGCCTTAAAGTTGGGTTTTAAAAAAAAAATTTGGGGTTTTTTGTGTTTAAAATTTTTTATTTAAATTTAATTTTATTTTTATTTATTGTTTGGGTTTGTTAAATTTCAAGTTTTTTGCGGGCCCGGGGAAAATTTTCGTTTTTGAAAGAAAAAACTACGTTTGAATTTTATCAATATTTTTTCCCAAAAAAACCGAACATTTACGCAGACGGACCGAAACGCCGATACGGGTATTGCTAATTATAAAAAAGCATGGCAAAAAATGAGATCGCCTTATGTAGAAAAACATTGGAAATGAAAGACCTAGACAGAGATATGCTGAATATAGAAAAGCACGTGAAAGGATTAAAATTGACAATCCCGAAAAAAGAAAAACGCGGAAAAGGACTGAGACAAAAATTTCCAAATATATATAAAAGTACGGAAAGGGGCGAATATCCAGATTGCCTAAGATATTCATGTACGAAAATTAGTTAAATTACCGAAACACAGATAGCAGAATGTAGAAAAGCTTAATAATCAAACCAATCAAATACATTAATTTTATTTTTCAAATTTCAAAAAAAACCTGCCGAAAAAAAGAACAACTCAAGAATATGAGTTGAATCTGCCACTTTTCATTTTCAGTATGTTTTGGAAACATTTGGCGAGGGTAGAAATACAAAGACTGCTAGAGAGCCCTACAGAGGCGGGCCTGTTGACGGCCCCGAGAATGGACAACCCCCACCTCCGTGGGTCATACCCTGCGCACCAAATCAAATGTTTCACTCCCACAACATTGTAAAGGAGGTTCCCCATACATCGGTGATACAGGTAAATATATTTTACATATATTACAGTTACAGATAAGATATATCCGATACATCACAAATAATGGATTTGAATTTACAGCGAAAGTGAAAATATAAAATGCCAATTTATTAAAGGCCCATTATCCCCCTGTATTGCTTATATTTTTCGTGTTCTGTTTAAGTTTCCAAGAAGTTACTCATTGGCAAACTCGCTGCAACATCCTTTGCTTCTGTTGCCTTTAGGTAATTAGAAAAGTTATAGTGATTAAGTATTTCGTATGGCATTCAGAATACTACTTTGTTCACTTTTTGCAACCTTTATGACAAATAATTTCACATTTCGCGCTACTTTCTGCATGTGATAAGCATCTAACATGCTCTAAATTCATCACTTTAATGTTAGAAAACTCATGTTTGTTCTTTCTAAAGAAGGAAAAAATATTCATTTCTGAGGCATAATGTGCCTTTAAACTAAAGGTTCGGCCTGTCCCCATACCCATTTACAAAGAGCAACTGCTGAAGTTTTTTTTAATCTACTGTTTTTTCAATAACTGTTTTAGCCATGTGGTGGTTGTGATCAACGTGGTTGGAATTGGTGTCATAGATGTGGAGCAGACGGACGCATCCGGTGTGGCACGTGCGGTGGTGATGGCGTCTGCAGTGTTTATAGTGCTCAGGAAAAGAGGCACGTGCGCAGGCAGTGTCACAGGTGTCATGGTTCCGGACAAGTGAGGCGAGTACTTTAAACTGCCTTGTTTTAAAATAAAAAGAAACACTAAAAACTGACTATCAGAAAATGAATTTAAGAGTTTTTGACGTCAATACCAATGCACTTTTTTTCGTTGCTCCGATTGATACGTTTGTATAATTAAAGTACGAAGCATTTGGCATTTTGTCAGAAAGTCTGATGTTGTTTAACATAAAATAAACGGCACAAAAGAGAGTAAACCGTCACTTTCACTCACAACAGTTTATTTATTATAACATTTTGTCTTCTTTGTCAAATTGTACCATTGTATGTTTTAGGGAAGCTTTTATGAACCTTAGGTTCGATCAGAAAAATCACACAACTGAATGAGAAATACATCTACATTTGTAACTTATTTTTACGCATATTATGCTCTTCTAAATTTGTATTGTTATATGTTTTAACCTGAATAAAGTCAAAATCAAAACCACTCAAATGATGTTAAAAAACAAAAAAGCCAATCAACATTTTTTGTTGCGCTTTTATAAATATTTGATGCATACGACCATTAAATTTCCAGTGACAAGCATATTAACTGAATAGCTTCCCCATAAATTATGACACTAGAATTCATCTCATATTTCCAACGGCACGAAGTAATATTTCATATTTAAATAGAATCTTGCATAATGACGTGTGCAGTGACTTCATCATGTATATTTAATCATATTAGTGTATTGATGCTTCAAATTTATTTTTACTTAATTATTGATACAATATTACCATATCTTGACAGAGTTGGCTTGTTTTATATTGTTTGTTTTGTTTCAGTCAATGGTAACTTGCTTTTTTATTGGCCAAAAAAAATTCACTTTCGGTAGAAGTCATGACAATTATAACAAAACATTTTAAAACAACGCAACTGTAACTATGTTTTGATTTGATTATACCCACACTGTTACATTGCTTTTTATCATATAATTTACAGATTTTGGATATCCCCGCTGCCTCTTATATCCCCAAACTCTTCCCACCTCCCCTCCCATTTACCATTTCAATTAAATTTACTAGAAGCAATTACTTATTACTTCTGGAGTAGCCATTTTATTTTTGTTGTTCACATCGCAAACTTATTATTTCTCCATGGAGTGCATGGCATAAGCGTTTTCTTTTCGACGCTGATTGCTATACTCGTAAAATGGACTTTTCCTTTCTTTTATTTGAAATAATGAAATTAATATAAAACAAACATCATGTTTTTTAATTGTAAATAATTATAAAAACTTGAAAATATGGTGAATGAAACTGAAAATATGGTTCTAATCTTTAAACAGATGCTTTACATTCACAATTTGTTTGAACTCCATATATTTTGATAGAAAAAGAGAACCTTAAGGATAAAAAACAACATTTTATCGACCTACCTACCTTACCCAAATTGACATGGAACGCGAGAGGAGAAACAAAGATATTTTTAAGGCTTACCCAAAGTGCAATATTCCTTGTGTTTTGTCACCAATTGTTGCTCTAATTAATACTAAATATTACCATATAAAGCACTTCGAACAAAAACTCCTACTTTAATATGCTCTGGTTAATGCAATGTGGGTAACTGCCGCGATCCGGAATGTAAACTACCAACACCACCACCACCCTCGTTTAATATGCACTTAGTAAACCAACGTTGTTCTCGATTATTTACAGATGTTCGAAATGTGGTGGAGATGGTAGAATCACTTGCTCCGAGTGCCAGGGATACCGGATGTTGAGATGTTATATTGAACTTACCGTCAGCTTGTAAGTAAACAATACATGAGCCGTGTCACGACGAATCCAACGTAATGCGTTTGCGACCAGCATGGATCCAGACCAGCCTGCGCATCCGCGCAGTCTGATCAGGATCCATGCTGTTCGCTATCAGTTTCTCTACTTGTAATTGGACTGGCAAGCGAACAGCATGGATCATGATCAGACTGCGCGGATGCGCAGGCTGGTCTGGATCCATGCTGGTCGCAAACGCATCACGTTGGTTTTGTCGTGACACGGCTCACATGTATATGTGTTATGATACTAAACGGTTTTTGTTGTTCACCCGTACTTGTTTGATTCTAATGTTTGCTCAGAGTTATCATGCATGTAAAATTTTCATTTATAATACCGAGCATAGCGATAACATTTAAGGTCGAAAATTCGAAGAAAATGATGACGATGATGATGATGATGTTGTTGTTGATGATGATGAAGATGATGATGATGATAAATGAATAACTTTTTGTGTTTTTGTATTTCAACCTTTCGCAATATCAACGGTATTATCTGTTACGACATTATAATTCATGTTCGCTTTTGGTTTACATCAACACCATATTACACGCCACAAAAACATGCACAAGACATGAAGTTGTGTATCATTTTGATTCAATAAAGACCTTTTTTCTTCACCATTTTAAACCATATATTATAATTACATTAAACATGGGTTGTTTATCTTAATAAGTAAAGTTTATGGTGATCTCATACAAAACTTGCCTTACAATGGCGTTTTAATGTCATGACGTCATAATAATTCAAATGCATGACAATTTTTGTTCCAGTACCAACCACAAAGACGACTACATTCTTGAAACAACTGACATGCCTGACGAACTTGTCCGAGAAGTTGGGGGGACCATTGTGTTTGAGGATGTACAAATGCAGGTATCAACTCTAAACGGTTCATCTTTCAATCTTGACAAAAAAATCTTGACAAAAACATAAAATTTATCATTTTAGTGAAAATGTCAAAATACATACATGTACTGACTGAATAGCACACTGTACAGACCATGTTCAAACGGCACGGATTTACCGACTGATTTTGGTCTGCACTTGTCGAATGTATAGAATCTGTTGCCGCCAGTATGTGTGGCAGTTACAATAGTCAAAAAAGTACACTTATTTATATGCTTTTATATGCTTTATAATATAAGCATTTTTTCTGACCCCCCTCCCCTCCAACCCGACGCCACCCCAACCCTTTCAATTAAATGTTTACAAATATCCTACAGCAACTGAGGCCATGTTAAAGTATGGGGCGTTTTATAAGTATGTAGTATGTACGGACGTACGTACGACCGTCGGCGGGTTTTTGTGCTTTTTCTTTTAGTTAAATATCCCTTAAGTAACTTGTTTTTTAAATTTTTTGTTTCGTTTATTTGAAATTTCAAAATTCAAAAAAAACCCGGGACATTTTAAAATAGATCTATATAAAAATATCATATAAATATTTTTCAGGTTTTTCCAATAACAATGTACCAGGTGAAGGAAAATCAAAATTTTAATTAATCTACAAGGGACAATGGCCCTTTTGAAAAAAATTTTTTAATAGTAATAACATCACTTATATATTTTCCTAAAATTTTTTCAACTATAAGAATAATTTTTAGGGTTTTTGGGGGGAAATATTTATTAAATCAAGATTCTGTCCAAAAAAAAAAATGGTACTGTTGATAAATTTTATAAAAATATTTCATAAGATATAGATTTATACCCCTTAATAGTACGAGTCTTTTTGCCATGCTCTGGTAAACTACGGTACTATTGAATTATCGACGAGAGATATCAAAATTTTCACGCGTTTCGTTCAAGTATAGCATGAAAATATTGTCTAAACGATGCGTATAATGGTCAGTTTTTGTAATGTATATAGTATCTGCACGTGTTATGCGTGCGATATCGTGTTAGTATATATAAGGATTTTACAGTAGGTTGAATTCAGTCTACCGGACACTAGCGCATTGTTCAGTCGGTTTTATCCAATTTTTCTTTTAAGTATAATATTATAACTTAAGGTCAAGGATTGGATATCTATATTGATTATCTGCTGCAATTATTGATAAAATTTTATGTCGGGCATCATTTTACGCTATTGTAGACAAACATATGGAACTTAAATAATTATATTATCTATTTAAATTGATCAGATTGGTTAATGTTGCATTTTATTTTTAATGTTATATTACATGTATAATGTTCAAAAAATGAGATAATAAGCAGGTTAGATGGTTAGAACAGGTTTCCAGAGTAAATTTTTTAAAAGTAAAAGTTTTTATCTCTAGTTTTACCTGGGCGAGTCAACCGTGATCATTATGAAAGTATTGTGAAATTTGTGAATGATTTTGTATCATGAAAAATAACGTATGTGAGAAATTAGCAGTTAACAGTGAGCTAAGCAAAAAGGCATTACGATTCTTATAGGGAAATCAATGATCTGCTGTTATGCTCAGCTGGGTAAGCAATCTAGCAGAGCATTCCAAAATAAAGCGTAGAAATGCTTTGCTCATATGCTCAGCTGGCTAAGCAATCTAGCAGGCCATTCCTAAATATAGTGTAAAAATGCTCTGCTGGTATGCTCAGCTGGCTAGGCAATCTAGCGGGGCGTTCCAAAATATAGTGCAAAAATGCTCTGCTGGTATGCTCAGCTGGCTAAGCAATCTAGCGGGGCATTCCAAAATATAGTGCAAAAATGATCTGCTGGTATGCTCAGCTGGCTAAGCAATCAAGCGGGGCATTCCAAAATATAGTGTACAAAATGATCTGCTGTTATGCTCAGCTGGCTAGGCAATCTAGCAGGACATTCCTAAATATAGTGTAAAATATACTCTGCTGTTATACTCAGCTGGCTAAGCAATCCAAAATATAGTGTAAAAAACTCTGTTGTTATGCTCAGCTGGCTAAGCAATCTAGCGGGGCATTCCAAAATATAATGTAAAAATGCTCTGCTGAATTGCTCAGCTGGCTAGGCAATCTAGAAGGGCATTCCTAAATATAGTGTAAAAATGCTCTGCTGGTATGCTCAGCTGGCTAAGCAATCTAGCAGGGCATTCCTAAATATAGTGCTTAAATGCTCAGCTGGCTAGGCAATCCAGCAAAGCATTCTGAAAATTAGTATAAAAATGTTCTGCCGGAATGCTGAGCTGTCTAGGCAAACTAGCAGGGCTTTCTTAAATAAAGTATAAATTTCGTTGGTCTTCAACTGATTATTTGGCACTCGTAGACTTTCTGAAATATTTGGTGCCAATGCAGATAATGACATTTTTTTACTTCTACGGGACCCTCAAGTGTCTATTTCTTTGGTCTCCGACTAATTCTGGGACGATCGCAGACTTTCAGGAATTTTTGGTGTTAATGCAGATAATGACATTTGTGAATTTTTAGGACCATCCAGAGTCCATTTCTTTGGTCTGCGAATGTTTCTGGAACACTCGCAGAAATTTTCGGTGCCAATGGAGATAATGACATTTTTACTTCACAAGGACCCTCCTGAGTCTATTTCGTTGGTCTGCGACAGATTCTGAGTCACTCGCAGACTTTTAGGAATTTTGGTGTCAATGCAGAAAATGATATTTCTGACTTATTGGGACCTTCCTGAATCCATTTTTTTTGGTATGCGACTGATTCTGAGGCACTCACAGACTTTCAGGAATTTTTTATGTCAAGGCAGATAATGACATTATTTACTTCTAGGGACCATCCAGGGTCCATTTTTTGGTCTGCGACTTATTCTTGGACAGTCACAGACTTTCAGGAATTTTTGGTGCCAATAGAGATAATTACAATTTTGACATTTTTGACCATCCAGAGTCTATTTCGTTGGTCTGCGACTGATTATTTTGGGCACTTGCAGACTTTCAGGAATTTTGGGTGCTAATGCAGATAATGACATTTTAGAGTAAAAATGCTCTGCTTATGACTAAAGGGTCTTAATAAATTAAAAAATGTCATGATCTGCAATGGCACTAACCATCCTGAAAGTCTGCGAGTCTCAAAGAATCAGTCGCAGACCAAAGAAATGTACTCTGGCGGTTCCCTAGAAGTCAGACATGTCATTATCTCCATTGGCACCACAGATTCCTGAAAGTCTGCGAATGTCCCAGGATTAGTCGCAGACCATAAAAATGGACTCTGACGGGTCACTAGAAGTAAAAATTTCCATCATTTCTCTTGGAACCAAACTTTCCTGAAAGACTGCGAGTGTCCAACAATACGCTGCAGGCCAATGAAATGGACTCCTAAAGGACCCTAGAAGTAAAAAATATCATTATTTCCATTGGCACCAACCATTCCTGAAAGTCTGCGAGTGTCCAAGAATTAGTCGCAGACCAACAAAATGGACTTTTGAGGGTCCATAGAAGTCTAAATTGTCAATATCAGCATTGGCACTAAAATTCCTGAAAGTCTGCGAGTGTCCATCAAAAAGTCGCAGAACAATGAAATAGTCTCTTAAAGGTCCTTTGAAGTCATAAATATCATTATTTCTATTGGCACCAAAATTCCTGAAAGTCTGCGAGTGCCTCAGAAGTGCCTAGAAGTCGAAAATGTCAATAAAACGTTGGCGAAAATAAATCCTGGAACTCAGAATCAGTCTGCCAGCTGAGCATTCCAGCAGAGCTTATAAATACTATTATTCAGAATGCTTCTCAAGATTGCTTATCCAAAACAGCATTTTCACACTATTTTTCAGAATGTTCTGCTAGGTTGCCTAGCCAGCTTAGCATTCCAGCAGAGCATTTTACACTATATTTAGTAATGCTCTGCTAGATTGCCAAGACAGCTGAGCATTGTATCAGAGCAATTTTACACTTTATTTAGGAATGCCCTGCTAGATTGCTTAGCCAGCTTAGCATTCCAGCAGAGCATTTTAACACTATATTTAGTAATGCTCTGCTAGATTGTCAAGACAGCTGAGCATTGCAGCAGAGCATTTTTACACTTTATTTAGGAATGCCCTGCTAGATTGCTTAGCCAGCTTAGCATTCCAGCAGAGCATTTTAGACTATATTTAGGAATGCCCTGCTAGATTGCCTAGCCAGCTAAACATTCCAGCAGAGCAGTTTTACGCTATTTAGTAATGCACTGCTACATTGCCTAGCCAGATGAGCATTCAACATTTTTTCACTATATTAAGGAATGCTCTGCTATAGTGCCAAGCCAGCTGAGCATTCCTGCAGAGCATTTCAACACTATATTTAGTAATGCCTTGTTTGATTGCCAAGACAGCTGAGTATTGCAGAAGAGCAATTTTACACTTTATTTAGGAATGCCCTGCAAGATTGCTTAGTCAGCTTAGCATTCCAGCAGAGCATTTTACACTATATTTAGTAATGCCCTGCTAGATTGCCTAGCCAGCTTAGCATTCCAGCAGAGCCTTTTTTTCACTATATTTAGGAATGCCTTGCTAGATTGCCTAGCCAGCTTAGAATTCCAGCAGAACATTTATTCAATATAGCTAGGAATGCTCTGCTAGATTGCCTAGCCAGCTTAGCGTTCCACCAGTACATGTTTTACATTATATTGAGTAATGCCCTGCTAGATTGCCTAGCCAGCTTAGCATTCCAGCAGAGCATTTTTTCACTATATTTAGTAATGTCCTGCTAGATTGCCTAGCTAGCTTAGCATTCCAGCAGAGCATTTTAACACTATATTTAGGAATGCCCTGCTAGATTGCCTAGCCAGCTGAGCATTCCAGCAGAGCATTTTAACACTATATTAAGTAATGCACTGCTAGATGGCCTAGCCAGCTGAGCGTTCCAGCAGAGCATATTTTCACTAAAACTAGGAATGCTCTGCTAGATTGCCAAGACAGCTGAGTATTGCAGCAGAGCATTTTTACACTATATTTAGGAATGCCCCGCTAGATGCCCAAAACAGCTGAGCATTACAGCAGATCATTGATTTCCCTATATAAATTTAAATGCCCTTTTGCTTAGCTCACTGTTCACTGCTAACTTCTCACATACAAAAAGAACAATCATTTGTTGATTCATATGTCAATATTTTGTTGTCGAATGATGAGCCACGTGATCTAACAATACATGCTTGTCCGGCAAAGCATTTATGAGTTTGTTTTTATATTGGTCCTATATTAAGGTTATTGTAAAGAGTGAAGGAAGACCGAATGACGCATTTGATATAAAAATATGTTGAACTTTCACTTTCGTAATATATTGATTTCCTTGTAACGTTAGTGACACACGTAATTGAGTGTTACTGATAAAATGTAATTAATCACGTATTACATGTATGACAACTATATTTTGCAATGCATAAAAAATGCAACAAAATTCTTAAAAAAAAAACTATATTGTATAAGTGATTTTTTTCTCCGTTATAAAATACACTTGGCATCGTTAATCAATTGTCGGAGACTATATATTGAAGCATGGAAATCACATAACTTGTAAATAAATCATATAGCTCATAATTAACAAAGAATGAAATTTCACACTGAGTTGTTTGTCATCTATTTCAGTATTTAATATTTTATCAATCAATTGACGTGTCACAATTTTCAATTGTAAAATCGCCAATGTGAACATTTCATGATTGTCATGACAACAATGTACAGTGTGATAAATTTATGATTTATGAATGAGTTATTTTTTTGTATTGTCGAGCTTTTACCGTCGAATATTATGCAAAGCATTTTGAAACTGAAGGCATGAGTACTTAATAACATAAAAATTTGTCGCTTTTCATTTCGGGCAAATGAGAAGGGCAAAATTGAACTTCATTCCATGGTATTTCGTTCTTCACGGGAAAATGATTTTTATTGGGATATCTTAACATGCATGTTTTTATTAGCTCAACTGAGCACAAAGTACTGCGGTGAGCTTTTTGATGGCAGTGTGTCCGTTATCAGTGTAAATGGTTCCGGTCTGACGCATAAGGAAGTCACAGGAGCTAAAATAGACTTTATACCAAATTTAACACCCGCTCCGTGGGTCACTTAGGTTAAATTGACTTGTAAAGGAAATACATTTATGTCTTTCTTTTCTGAAATTGCAATGCCTAGAGCTTAGACGTTGATAATTGTAGACATGGATAAATATTTGAAAAATAATGATGTTTTTGGTAAAAAGCGATAAGCCCAATGTGACCGCATTACTGAATTTGTGACCTTTGCTAGCAATGTATCTCAGGTGAACGATCCAGGGCCGTCATGACTCTCTTGTCATGTTTACCAGAATCGTATTTCATTTTTGATAAAATCTGTTTCAAAATAAATACATTTCAGAGGCAAACATTGCGAGGGGTTCCTGTTACAGAAGTTAAGTATAAATGGGATGACGTCACTACACGTTACTGGGTGTACGGAAACGAACGGAAAGTTTACGCCCCGGATTACCCCCACCAGTGCTGCTGTGGATGTGAAATATTGTGATCAAAGACTTATAATTATTGAGACTTAACCGGTCATATTTTTTAGACATTTATTTTTGCTCTTTCTTTGTTAAGTTATTGCTCCAAACAACACAGAAATATCAATTTCTTGTCTGAAAATAAATCATTACCCTAAAAACTGTGGTCACAAGTTTAGCTATTTTGTCTGAATAAAGTACCAAATTGTGACCCGTATTACCTCCCCTAATATTATGTTACAATTTGTGAAAATGAGATTCAACCCGAACAAACAAACATGGTTGTAAAATAAAACTTAAAAGCTTTAAAAAATTATGTTTGATTATTAAAAAGTTATGAAAAATAAACTGCTACGATTATTAGTGTGTTTTGTATTAGATGAATACCTGACTGGTTTGACTGATTTGACTGTCAAGGTCGAATATTTGAACTAAATCACAAGAGAGATGTATATGTTCATGTTTAAAGTAAGTTAAACGCTTCTTGTAAACAATGAACCTGCCGTTGGAAACCGATCGATCTGGCTTTTATTTGTTGATTTGTTTACATATCATAAAATTATTTGTCTTACCATTGTTATCATCACATATACACACCTTGTCAAAATGTTTTATGTCTATAAAATGCTTCTGTTTCATGTCTTTTCATATCTATTAAATTTTCTGTTTCATGTCTATAAAATGCTTTATTTTCATGGCTATAAAATGCTCCCGTTTCGTGTTTTTTTAAACGCTTCAGGTTGATGTCTTGAAGACGATTCTAAGTACTCTTGTTCATAATTATATGATTATGCATATCCAATGAACCTGCACTGCATGTGAATCTGTCTCGTAAACTTTCTGGTATCCATCATCAGTTGACTCTCTTAAGTAACTAACAGAGTCACACATTTTTGCACATTTTTTTCTATTTGAATGAGATACATTCAACACTTTTATCGCACATTTGCTTATATTTGCCGCAATGTCAGAGTTGATGTTTCACAAGTTCAATGCCAAGATTTGTTTACTTAGCATCAATATAACAGTATAAGCACATTTCGCAATGTCTTAACTTAGTTTCTCACATCCAAGGGACAAGACCCTATATTAATATAATAGAATGAAATTTATTTCCATTCATGGGCTTTTACAGGCATATAATCAAACAAAAATGAAATTGTACAAGATGTACAGAACTAAAACATAACTAAAGCTTAATTATCTTAAAGATGATTTGGACCAAAGTTATGGTTGTTCGTGTATAGACAGACAGACAGACGGACGTCGATACAAAAAGACTTTTACTGAGTACTTCTTTTTTATAAAAACAATAAAGAACCTAACAATATAAACGGATAATGTTACCACATTGTTCCATATACATACATCATAATGACAATTCCTTCCGCTACAAACTGATGTAATAGTCACTTTACCAAACGTTATAGTTCATTTGATTGAAATGCGAATAAGGAAGATAAATATTAGACAACAAATATAAGTGACCCATTTAATATTACTTTGTATAAATAGTAATCGTTTCCTGAAAATTGAAACATAACTTAAAACAATAAGAACTTAACTTAAAACAATTAGATGGCCGGAAATGGCCAATCCTTTTTATTCTTACGGAATGTAATTTCCACAAATGTATCTGATTGTCAATTGGTTATTCAAAAATTACTCATTACAACCTTTTACAATGCTAAATGACTGACGAAAATTATACAAGTCTTTGATTTACCAATTCCACAAGGAGAGACTGTGATTCTTAATAAGAGAATTAAAACTTCTTGTAACTCACCATTGCATTTAGAAATGGAGTCATCCTCCGAGCTGTACGATGTATTAGCCGAGCGTTTAGTTGGAGGGGTAGTATTTGTCTCTATTTTAATGGTGATCGGATGTGCTGGAAATTTGATTGTTCTTCTAGTGTACACGTTCCGCATGAAAGCGTCCAATCACAGGATATTTATCGTATTTCTTGGACTGCTGGATTTCCTGGCGTCAAGTATCGCCATGCCGTTTACAGTTGTTACATTTCGTCAACCGGAAATACTCAGAAAGACGCCGACGTGTAAATTATATTGGTTTGCCAACTACTTCATTTGTTCGGCTTCCGGCCTGGCTTTGCTGGTGATAGCCATTGAGAGGTGAGTATTGCAGGTATATTATATTTTGGTTGAGTTTTGCTTTTCTTTATAAAATGTAAAGAACAATCTTGATTACTTAGAGATAAATGCAGGTAAAATATTTATCTTCCTTAAATAATATTAATTGTCTGAAATCCGAGAATATCTAGTACACGTATACAGCTTGTTTGTCATGTTATGTAAAGTTCTGTTGTGGATCTGCATATAATTGATCTCAAATTTGTCCGTCTTCAAATCTACACAGCCATTCATCAAGGTTTAGAAAAAAAACGAGGAGTCAAAATATTTCAAGAAAATCAAACTTGAGAAAAATGCACTAAAATTATAAGAAAAGTAAAAAGATTGAAGTAATAATTTACATGTTATGTGAGATAAATAACTCATTTCGCCATATTCAAGATATTACCAGATTTCTACTGCGTGACTAACGCAGTAAGGGCTATTATTTGCATATTATGATTTCTTTCAGGTAATATACTTGAATTGTAAGCGCCATTAACAATTACTTTATTACTTGACACATTACTGTCTTGGTTTGCTTTACAATATTTCACTTTTAAAATTTTAATGGAAAGCTGGAAGTATGCTGCTTTAAAGGTATATGAAAAGTAGCATTGTTAGACCAAATCACATTTGTAACAATATTTTACAAATGAAATCGTATTCCTACCATGTCAAATATGTTATAAATGTGCATGTCCGACATGTGGGTTGGTACGAGTATTAGAATGGCGTATGCAACAGATTCTGTATATCACTAAAATATTCAGTAAGTTAAAAGGCAAAAGAACATAATTATATCTTCTATCACAATACTCTACAATTTTTACTTTTGCTTATAGGCAAGCTGGATTGGTATAACCACATATAAAATGTTTCAGTTTTTGTGGTACATGTAACAAGTTCGAAACTTGGTGGTAGAAAATCGTTGACCAACCACAGCTTATAAAAGACTGTTTATTATCATACGGTTGGTATGCACAGAAATGGATTATGTTTAAAAATATATACTAATCCGGAAGTCGAGGAGTGATGTTGAACAGCTAAAATCTTCTTTGTTTTGACTTGATACTTTATCTCAAGAATATTATCTTTTTTAGGTATAGAAAAATATGCGTTCCCCTGGGTTGGCAGATGACCCGTCGGACAGCCATCCTTTCGTGTTTTATTGTACTGCTAGTGACTACAGTTTCATCATGGCCTGTCCTTATATTGATAGGAACAACTACCAACCTAACGTCTACTCCAAGGATCACGGATTCAATCTGCGCCACCGAGGAGAAAGAAAATTACGACATGTACCAAATATATTATCATGGGGGCCTGACACTTCTGGTTGGTCCTTGTTTTGTGGCACTTGTCGTCTTATATGGACTGGTGTGGAGAGTTGTACGAAAATACAATGCGCAAAAACAGGATAGATACAAATTTATTGCAGCTGATGGATCTTCAGTATCAGACCGGAAAACATCACTTACGAGCGTCAGAAGTACAGATAAGGCAAACGATATATCTTACATACAGGAAATGACGTCATCTGATGACAAGCAAAGCAAGAGGATCTCCTCGAAAGCCGAGACAAACACCCGTAAGAAGTTCAACGTAGTGAAGAAAACAACCATTGCTTTTCTTTTGATAACTGCTATATTTTTCATAAGTTATATTCCATACTTGATTTTGACTATTCTGATATATTCAAATACTATTTCCGGGCTGACGTCATCAGGTGTGGTGTTTGTCAATATCATACGGTTCACACCGTATATAAACAACATCGCTAATGTGTTTATCTACGGCTGCTTTGACGTGCAGTTTCGACGTGAAATAAAATCAGTTTATAACAAGGTGACGTGCTATAAAATACTGAGATTGACACAGACGTAAACTGACCAAAGCAGGTCAAATTAAAGTTCACACATATTGACAAATACCCAATGTTGTAAAACGTTATGGATTCTGCTTTTAATATCTAATGTTTGAACAGAAACTTCAAGGGAGGTAACTAGAGTCCTAGTTGCTCGCTTGCAGTAATATCAGCTTTTTCATGACGGTAAAACATGTAAAATTATTTGTGCTATGTGAAATTTTTGTCTGTTTTGCTTGTATTGTATTAAACACAACCTTGCATGTCTGTTATGACAAAAGGCATAAACATTTGCTAGATACTGAATACATGTATCAAATTTCGAATTAGAAATATATATGCACAAATTATGCATAAATGTTCATAAAATCATGTTTATTAAAGCATAAAATATTTAGTTATTAATGTAAAAAATCAAAACAGATAATTAATATGTCAAAACCGATTTTAGATTAAAAATATACTCTTTCATTACATGTTCATAATAAATGATCTTAAAATCACCTACTCTTTGTTTATTTACCAAGTAGATGCATAGTGAATATATAGACCATTACTTATATAAGACAAGTTTTGAGAATGCCCTTACGCCATGTTACTTGCCCTTAACCAAGTCCTGAAATAGCTAATATTAACGAAACAAACGTACTTCTTTCCAAATAGCACATGTGTATGCAACTTCATGATTTGTACTAGTCATTCCCACCGAAAGGTCACGAAGTCAAATGTTAACGTCAGACATATAACAAAATATTGAACATTTACCATGATCATAAACAGGAAGCCTTTGAATTTTACAGATGTCAGTATGCAACTTGATGTGCTTTTCAGCACCTTTTTAGATGTCACAGAGTCAAGGTTTACTTGATTACCAAATATTAACAGTTGCGTTATGACATATGTGCTTACACCTTTAAACTCCACACAGATGCATGCATGCGTCCGCAACGCCCACGTGAGTTCATGGGGTTAAGGTGTCCGTGACCTCTAAATATAAAATAGTAGCCGTTCTATACAACAAAAGTAATTTTAACAACAGTCTTTAAACTGAACAGATATATTGACTTTGATTCGTCCTGTTTACAAACCCACATAGGCCAGTGTATAACGAGGATGGTTTTTTACTTATTTTATCATAAAATAAAAATGCTCCCACCTAAATGTTTATTAATGTATACATTGTTTGTGAATGTACCTTCATAAACTTTAGTGATCAGTACAGGTCAAATGTCAGTTTCACCCCAGATAGCAAACATTAACCTTGGCCTCTAAGTGAAAGTAATTTCTTCTAACTTCATTTTTGGACGTCCGAGCGCATGACATTAATATTATACGCTTCGAATGTATGTATGTTGATAAGCCCTACCGACCAGTACAACTTAAAGGTCACGTTTCAAAGGTCAAGGTCAACCATTTGGTTTATGGCATTCATTCCGACGAAGCGTTTGCTAAAGTTTATTTGTAGTGTTTTATGTCTTACTTTTCGGCTGTGCCTGGCACTAATGATTATCTTGGTGCCTTTAAATTATATTTCTAATAGTGAAATTTAGTGCAAACCGAAAATATTTTAAAACTAACTTTCGTTACCACATTAAAGTTTCTTAAAAGTCTTTTAACAGTATCTTCCATAAAATATTTCGCAAACATTTATAAATAAGATCATTTTAACCCTATATTCCATAGATCACTTACCACAACTTAATAGATACTCATCTCAAATTCACTTATCCCGTTTCCATAGATACTCATTTCATCTCACTTTAGTGTACATTCATGTAAGTTGTCAATAAACAACAGACATAATAAATTACATTTTATCATTGATGAAAACTTTGAATTAAGTATAATATTTTCTTTACAAAAATAGTTTTGGTATTGAATAAATTTCAGTAAAAAAGATAAACATTTGGTATAGGGACATCGCAACTTTTACACACCGATAGTCTTAGATATTTGGACGTACTGTTTCAAGAACCCGAACAAATGATACAGGACTGAACACTTGTTTTTTCTCTTTCTTTCAATATGACTACTCTTGGATTGTATAATGCCTTGGACATCAAAACTTTTGCACTCTTTCTTTGATATTTTTTGTGATCGTTATATGAAAGTGCAGAATATTATGAAATAAACTTGAAGTTAACACCACTTAATTTAACATCAGTCCATGAGTATATTGTTTTAAAGAAAACATGTACAAAATTCAACAATGACACTAGTATGGTTCACATTTGATGGCTTTTTTGTAAGTTAAATGTATAAATACAATGCCTCCACAATGTTTTGCAACACCTGACTGTATAAAAGTTTGTATCAATTAATCCGATTTTCACGCTATCCGAATTTCATAACACAACATGGTGCTTTGAGTTAAGCACAAGGATTAAGTGCAGTTATCATTTCATTTTAAGGTTTGTTACAGCTCAATAAAATATTAATCTTTAGATAATTAGATGCCATTTAAAGCAAAACACCTACATGCTATCAGGCAGAATAAAACGTAAACAAATCATTCCTGAAAGGTAGCACTCCACACTAAATTTCAAGTTTCTGCCGTCAATGTCCTACAAGAAATATGTCTGATAAATCTGATCCCAAACGACACAACCTGGAAAAAGAAAACACATTTTGTTAAGAACATATATGTCATAACATTGCAAATCTGTAATGAAATCATCCCATGTGCAACAGTCAGGCAGTTAAAAAAATTCCAATTCATTCCGTAAAAGCCAAAAATCTATAGTGGTCCGAGACCCAAAACAACATTTTTCGTCCCTCCGGCAAAAATACCTGCAAATATACGGTCTACAGAAACTTGTCACTGCTTTAGCAACTCCCTATACATGCAAAATATCACAAAGAAATAGGTGCTTGGCCTTGTTGATTTTTTGCTATTGCTGAAAGTTTGTACCCCCCCCCCCCCCTGTAAAATTACTTGTTTTCATCGAGCATGCTGTTTAAAAGCAATGTTTACACACAATGGCGGCCTTGACATCAATAATTATCAGCATGTGATTTCTAACCATGTTTTCGAATTTGCCAATGATCATATTACATGTCACAAAAACATATTTCATGCTGAAAATGCATTTGAAAGACAACCAGTCATTTAAATCCACAATAGTCACTATATCCATGAAATCCTCCCCTGGCCATTCGAAGCTGTGGCTTCAATTAGTGTGGTGTGCTGTCATACCTGGAAAAATCTGCCATTTTGTCAAGACAGCATCACGTGGCTAAAATCTTAAGACACTTTTGGTTTATACAGAAGTAACGATATTATGGACGTTATTTTAACGCAATATTTTGGCATACAACATTCAGACCCGTTCAATATATCGCTACAGGTAAGAACCAGAGTGATATTGTTCTTACCATAAGATAGAGCAAAAAATAAATTACGAACATTTTGATACCAAACACTCATTTTTTCCATAATTGGAATTACGACACTATGGAATTAGAGCGACAGAGATCATAAACATTGTACATGGTTCCTGTCTGAGGCATAAATAGGTCACAGGAGCTAAAAAATCTTCCTCTGATAAACTACAATGCCCAGAGCTTAGATATTTGGCATGTAACATCACCTTTTAGTCCTCTATAAAAGTTTTATAAATCATTTCCCCCAGTGGTCAAGAATGACCCCGCCCTAGGGGTCACTTAGTTTACTTAGGCTTATATTGGAAATCATATTTAACTCTTTTTTATGAAACAACAATGCCAATAGTTTAGATATCTGAAATGTAGCTTCACTAAGTGGACGTGCAAGTTATATAAATCCTGCCTCTAGGGTCAAAATTGGTCCCGCCATGTGGGTCACTCAGTTTATATAGAATTGTATTATAAAATGTCTTAAAATACTTCTCCTCAGCAACTGTAATATCTAGAGCTTAGAATTTTGGATGTGGCATTCATTACCTTGTGGTCCTCTATAAAGGTATGTCAATAATGCGCATGGGGTCAGAATTTATCTCACCCGGGGTCACTTATTATACATACTAAATACATTTAAGTCTTTCTAAGTTTAGATATATGGCTTGTGGCATTGTCCAGTGATCGTCTACAAAAGCTACATAAATCAAGCCCCTAGGATAAAAAGGCCCAACCCTTCGGTCACTGAATTTACATAGACACGTGTAGTTAGAATGTTCCTGTTACAGAGGGAAAGTATAAATGGGATGACGTCACTACACGTTACTGGGTGTACGGAAATGAACGGAAAGTTTACGCCCCGGATTACCCCCACCAGTGCTGCTGTGGATGTGAAATATTGTGATCAAAGACTTTTAAACCAATCATCTTATTTAGACATTTATTTTTGCTCTTTTTTATTTTGTTAAGTTATTGCTCCAAACAACACAGAAATATCAATTTCTTGTCTGAAAATAAATCATTACCTTAAAAACTGTGGTCACAAATTTAGCTATTTTGTCTGAACCAAGTACCAAAATGTGACCCATATTACCTCCCATAATATTCTATTACAATTTGCGAAAAAGATTTTTCTGCACTGTAGAACTTATTTTTTTTGTTCTTGAAAAAAAAGTATTAAAAAAAGAAAAGTACGTAAATTATTACATAACTAAGAAATATTCGACTTAAATAAGTAATAGGTGATAAATAATAAGTTTTAAATAATAAGTAATATATTATAATTGATAATTATGTTAAACATATTAAGTAATAAATAATAAGTAATAAATAATAATTTTCCTTCCAGGGCTTTCGTATTATATGACCTTCTATAATTGATGTTTTACTTCATCTTTTTCGCTAATTCTCTTGATGTAATAAACAGAGGTTTTCCTGCCAAACAAGGCGCGTGTCAATACTAAATATAGTAATAATATGTAAATAATAAGTTATAGGTTATAAATAATAGGTAATAAGTAATACGTTTTAAATAATGAATGTCCCTCCAGGGCTTCCGTAGAAAAGAGTTTATGTTTGTTATCAAGAAGTTATTGAAGTGAACTGCCATTAGTGTGTATTGTATTAATAACTACTTGACTCATTTGACTGATTTGACTGTCAAGGTTTTACTAAATTCAAAAGTTATATCACAGGAGAGATGTGTATGTATATGTTTAATGTAAGTTGAACACTTCTTGTGAAAAAAGTTCCTGACGTTGGAAACCGATCGATCTGGCTTTTATTTGTTGATTTTTTTACATATCATGAAATTGTTTGTCTTACCATTGTTATCATCACATATACACACATTTTCAAAATGCTTCATGTCTATAAAATGCTTCTGTTTCATGTCTATAAAATTTTCTGTTTCATGTCTATACAATGCTTTATTTTCATGGCCGTTTCATGTCTTTTAAATGCTTCAGGTCTTAAAGACGATTCGAAATACTCTTGTTTATAATTATATGATTATGCATATCTCATTCTTCTGTATCGCATGTGAATCTGTCTTGTATATCTTCTAGTATCCATCATCAACTTTTACACTTTTTAGTAACTAACCTAGTCACATATATTTACACATGTT